TATGTATGTATGTATGTATGTATGTATGTATGTATGTATGTATGTATGTATGTATGTATGTATGTATGTATGTATGTATGTATGTATGTATGTATGTATGTATGTATGTATGTATGTATGTATGTATGTATGTATGTATGTATGTATGTATGTATGTATGTATGTATGTATGTATGTATGTATGTATGTATGTATGTATGTATGTATGTATGTATGTATGTATGTATGTATGTATGTATGTATGTATGTAATGTATGTATGTATGTATGTATGTATGTATGTAATGTATGTATGTATGTATGTATGTATGTATGTATGTATGTATGTATGTATGTAATGTAATGTAATGTAATGTAATGTATGTATGTAATGTATGTATGTAATGTATGTATGTAATGTATGTATGTATGTAATGTATGTATGTATGTATGTAATGTAATGTATGTATGTATGTATGTATGTATGTATGTATGTATGTAATGTATGTATGTATGTATGTATGTATGTATGTAATGTATGTATGTATGTATGTATGTATGTATGTATGTATGTATGTGTATGTATGTATGTATGTATGTATGTATGTATGTATGTATGTATGTATGTATGTATGTATGTATGTATGTATGTATGTATGTATGTATGTATGTATGTATGTATGTATGTATGTATGTATGTATGTATGTATGTATGTATGTATGTATGTATGTATGTATGTATGTATGTATGTAATGTATGTATGTATGTAATGTATGTAATGTATGTATGTATGTATGTATGTATGTATGTATGTATGTATGTATGTATGTATGTATGTATGTATGTATGTATGTATGTATGTATGTATGTAATGTATGTATGTATGTATGTAATGTAATGTAATGTAATGTAATGTAATGTAAAATGTAATGTAATGTATGTATGTATGTATGTAATGTAATGTAATGTAATGTAATGTAATGTAATGTAATGTAATGTAATGTAATGTAATGTATGTAATGTAATGTAATGTAATGTAATGTATGTATGTATGTATGTATGTATGTATGTATGTATGTATGTATGTATGTATGTATGTATGTATGTATGTATGTATGTATGTATGTAATGTATGTATGTATGTAATGTATGTATGTATGTAATGCAATGTAATGTAATGCAATGTAAGGTAAGGTAATGTAATGTAATGCAATGTAATGTCAAGTATGTATGTATGTAATGTATGTATGTAGGTCCTTCTGTCTGTATGTATGTATGTATGTATGAGCGTATGTATGTATGTAATGTAATGTAATGTAAAGTAATGTAATGTAATGTATTTATGTATGTAATGTAATGTAATGTAATGTAATGTAATGTAATGCAATGTAATGTAATGTATGTATGTATGTAATGTATGTATGTAGGTCTGTCTGTCTGTATGTATGTCTGTATGTATGTCTGTATGTATGTATGTATGTATCCTTGCACTTCCCCTTTGCTCCCCAGTATTTCCCGCAAAATACACGTTTTTCTCCCGCGTTTTCGCAAAGAGGATGTCCAAAAACACAGAGTTTTGCCAGATTTTCGGCAAAAGGATGCAGGAAGCCCAAGCCAGCAAAAAAGCCGGCAGGGGGAATCGAGCCTGGGAACCCTGTTTTGCGACACCGGCTCCCCGAAGACTACGTTTAGTGGAACGTCATCAAATTGCCGCTCGGTACGTGGGCCCCCCCCCAAAAAAAACCTACGTAATAGACGTCGGGCGGGGGGGGGGGTTAGGGGGGGGGTTATCCTCTATCCTCTCTTAGGTGTCCGACACGCCGAGCAATGTCGGCGGATTTATATACATATCGCGTGTAATACGCTTCTGGCAAGGGTCCGGCCATGTATGTGGTCTGGCAAGGGTCCGTTGTGGCAGAGGAATGTGGCGTGCTAGCAGAGGTCCAGGGTCTTCGCTGGATTCTCCGAACATCCGACGTCTCATTGACCGCCATTCATCACTCCGCTGGCGCCCGAGACAGGAGGACCTGACCCCGGAATCCGCGCCATGAGCTTGCTCTATTTCAGACATTGTGACCAGCTTGGAGATGTGGCTGTGGGTCAAAAACGTGGTACCCAAAATGGAACCCTGGTAAATGGAAACATGGACCAACCTCTGTGCGGTTCCCTGGTGGTTTCATTTTGACCCATACCCATGTCACAACCACTAGGTTTGTCTCAAAATCGAACAGGGTTGTCTGATTTAGCCACCTGCGGGCATTCCCTAGCACTAGATTGGTCCAACAGGGGATGACACTGGATGATGAAACCACCGTGTTTGTTTCATTTCGCGAAAAGCTATGGTTTTCTCACTGCTCCAAAGACAATGGACCTGTTGAGTTTGTTTGGCTTTCTCATTTTTGTCATGAGTTTTTTCCAAAAGGTGACTTGGATGTATATACGGGTCCGAACTGGGCAGAGGTCATGGGTCAACCTTCCCCTTCAAAGCATGTACATAGGTTCAATGTAAACTACGAGATTCGTCTCCAAATAGGAAGCCCCCCAACCCCTCCCCTTAAAGTACATGTGCGGAGTTGTGGATCCATCCAGGTGATTCCATGTAAACAGCAAGGTTTAAGTCTCGAAATAGGTCCCCCCCCCGCTTTACCCCCAGGATCTTCCATTTGGTCAAGAAGATTTTGTATTTTCCCCCGTGGGTTTTAAAGGGAACCTATCATTACGTGACATATTTTTTCATTTTCCAGTTGGGTCTTCACTGGGGATGGCCCCCCCCCGGATGGATCATGTGCTGTAAATAACGAGGCTTGTCTCCAAAGAGGTCCCCCCGCCCCCCCCGCCCCACTTGACCCCCGGATGGATGGATGGATCCAGGTGGCCATTTGGCGGCTGGGGCTGCTGGAGGCCCTGCGCCGGTCGGTGGCCTGGATCGCCCTGGTGGCCACCTTCGCGCCTCGGACGGGCGTCGGCTGGGCGTCGGCGGGGCGTCGGCTTCGGCCGTGGGCGCGTCTTAGTGGCGTGGGAGGCCAAGTGAAAGAGGAAGAAAAATGAGGCGTCCTTCAGTTTGGTTGGAAATCGATTTGTTTTTCTGGTTTGGGTGGAGTTTATGCCCCATTTGCCAGGGGAATCCATCTGTGTTGAGGACATGAGTTGGGGTCCTATTCATCGAGGGGTTCCGTCCTTTCAGTGGCGATCGTCTCAGTGGAAACCAATAAAAATTGATCAGCTTTCGGTTGGGAGTAATTCAGTTTGCAGGTATCCTTTCTTCTTCGTCTTCTTCTTGTTCTTCAGATGCATCCCCCCCCCCCGGTTTTCTTTGGAATTCAGCATTGGCTCGTCTTAGTGACTCGGAGCCAACAGAAAGAGGAAAAGAGCTGTCCTTTCCGTGAGGGGTCTACTGGAAATATGAGTTGTTTACAGGGGGCATAAGCAAATGGAAGAGAACAACAAGTTAGGGGTGGTTTTTCAGATCTACCTTTCTTTGATGAGTGTTAAAGGCAAACCACAGGAATGCCGCCGTTCTGGGAGTTCCGTATCCTATTTTGAGGGCAAATCCATTCTCGTTCTCAAACTAGAGGACGCTTTTGACCAAGAATCAACAGAAATTCAAATCCATGAGAATGCTCTATTTTAGGGAGCCCTGTTTTAAGGGTTTAGCCTTTCAGTATTATGATTCAGTCCTGTCCACTTTTTGTGGGTCGCAGAAAGGCACTGTAATTTTTGACACCTGGTATTCGAGGTTCTACCCTTCTTTTGGCTGCGTGGTTTTTTGAGGGAACCCTTCTTAGCGGGTTGATTCAAGGGACACACTGCCAAGGCCGGCAAGCTGTGGCTCTACAAGCAGGTGTGCCCCTCACCACTGAGTCGAGTGGGTCGGGACTGTCCCAGCCTGCGCATATCCGCTTGGATTTACATTTCGGGTATAGACCTCTTTTTTAATATTTGGGCAAGGGAAGCACCCGTCAAAGAAGACCTGAAGTTTATCAACCATCTATGGGCTTCATAGACAAGGGCAGGCATGCGGCCTTTCTATGGTATATGGATGTCGTTTTGCTTTGGGTTGGTTCTAAAAGGAAACAATGGAGAAAGCCTGGTCCCCAATTTCTTCGCACACGAGCCACCTTGAAATACCAGGTGTTGATGATTACTCAAAACGACCGTCATCTTGGACTTGGGAAGTCACATGCCAAGATACAAAAGGGAATCCTGACCTTCTGCACAAGATTTGTTTGTTTAAAGGGCACCCATTGTTGTGGGTTTGACAGGGACAACAATTTGCGGGGTCCCCGAAAAGAAAACACATGACATGGTGAAACCAGCTCACCCATGAAGGTTCCTTGCAAGGGATTCCGCATGCCGGTTTGCGAGTAATTTGCGGAATCCAGCCGGGTGGAAGTGTGGAATCCCCCTTGTTGAAGAACTCAGGTGATAAACAGGTTTTTCGTGGTACTCTTTGTTTGGGGTCGATAGTGAAGCCAAGTCAAAGCCATGATTCCGCACCGCATTTCGTGTGCCACCTGCAAAAAACATGTTTTCGTTGGGTACAAGCAACACCGCTTGGCAGAGCGATCAATAACCGTTTGGGTCGCGCGACGGATCGGGTTGCTGCACTCACCATCGTCCCTTCGCCCATCGTTCGGCTCAAGGTAAAAAGGGAGAAGGGCTATGAAAGGGAGAAACACATCACAACGCCCTAAACCCTGATGAATCATGTTGTTGCTGGATTAGAAGTAGGACTGAAGTCGGCATCATCTGTGCGTGGCTGACGCATGTTTGAGCGAACAATCGCGCAAAACCTGGCGACAAGCCCCCACCCATTCAATCTTCAAGAGACTTGCATTCATACGAGAGTGCCGCTTGCTTTCTGTACATTGAATTCCCCTAAATATGGCAAATGGCCACGTTAGTTCACTTACTTACAATGCGAAACTTTGAAACTGATCCATTTCTTAATTCTTACCTGACCCGTTTTTGAACCACGGTTTAGCCTGAACCGTAGTGACAGGTGTAACCATTGCGATTGGCAGATCTTGCAGAAATCGGCCAAGCCCATGCACCGATGCTGATGCGGGCGAGCCAAGGCGGCTGTCCCATGTTTTGAGGGGCACCAGCCGGAAAGCCGTTAGGGGCCCCCTATTTGTGTATCAAACTAAGGGACAGGTCCCCAAAATGGATTTGGCTTCACTTTGAACCAACGCCAAAGAGGACCCCAAGAAAACATACACCCATGTACTGATTCAGAGCCATAGAGCCATTGAAGCCTAGCGACTACTGGTAACCAAAAGACCAAGGGCCATAGCCCTCGGATAACTCTTGCGAGTCGGTTCCGGCAAGGTCCGTGGGTTTGGGTGCCAAATCGTGCGGTAAGGAGCTCATTTGGAAGTAGAGCGAACTTGGGCATGCTGAAACTTTCCCTGGGGGGGGGGGGTCGTATTATAGTGACTTGCCCAGAATGATAAACTCACGCAATGCGAGTTGACATGTTCTGCTTTTAGTTCTCCAAGTGGGTTTGTGTGGGTGTGACCAAGGCACAACTCGAGAAAACCAAAACAACTCCGAGGAAAAGTCGTGGTTTTGCCAAAAGTTGTTTGATTTCTCGAGTTGTTTGGCGTTTTGGGTGAGGGACCACTTTGATTTTCGGTGTAAAAAAGCACAAAACAGCTCGATGGCTTTTCGATTTTTGGAATGCAGTTTAACGCAGAAATAAAACAATTGAATTGTTGTTTTATGTTACGGCTGATATACTCCAGAAACCAAGAAACTTGGCAACACGAAAACTTCTCCTCAGAGTGTGTGTTTTGTGTTCTCGGTAATATCGAGGCCAAAAAAGCAATAGGAGTTTGGTTGTTTAGTCCGAAAAACAAGAAATCTGAGGGAAGCCAAAAAAGCAAACTCGGGAAAACACAAAAAGCATTCGCAAAACCAAGCCGTTGCCTCTGAGTTGTGTTGTTTTGGTTGTTTGGTCCTCTCCAGGATTTGTTTTGGTTGTGTGGCGTTGCCTCAAAACAACAACAAAACAATGAATGTCTTGGTGGTTATTCCAAAATCCAAAGAACCCGAGGGAAAACCTAAAACACCAAAACAAAGAGAAAGCTAAAAGAATTAGAGCTTTTGGCGAGAACCAAACTTTTCCTCAGAGTTGTTGTTTGTTCTTTTGGTCTTCTGGATGCTCCTTTTCTGTTCTGTGCTTCATCGTCTCCATCTAGCCAGCAAAATGTTCTAGAAACACAATGTCGTTCTACATCGACATGCAGAACATGCTAACCACTGAGGGTGTTGGCAAACTTTGAGCGACTAGCACAAGACAAATCTAAAACGGACTCAGTTTCGCTTTTAAGTCGTTCTTACGACAGACATGGCAACAGAGGTACTTCTTGGGGAGGGACAATAGACAATGTATACACACACACACACACACACACACGCACACACACGCCTCTGAGCCCTGGATGATGGCTGCATGAACTTTCGGATGAACCGTTAGTCATTGCCCAAATATGGAAAACCGGGCAACAACGGGGCTACACTGGTTGTGGGTCTTGGCAGTTCAAGGTGTTGCAAAGCAGCCACATTTTGCCGAACCGCGCGGACCCTACCTGGCAGGTGGTGACCCTGGACATGCATGTTTGTTTTCCACTTAGCGCTTAGGCGACATGGTGCACAGACAGACAGCAAAGAAGCTTGTAGGTTCTTTATTTGGGGATTCACTTTGTCTTTAATGTTGGAGTTTGTTTATTTCAACCACCTAAGGATGTTGGGCACTAAAAAAAGGGGCATGGTAGAAAGGGAAAAGCAAAACACGGGTTTCGGGCACGAGAGCGAGAGACGAGCCAGGTCCATGAACCTTGCGCCTCGTCTTTCCACTTGCACAAAGGTGTGGTCGGTGTCGTGAAAAGGAGGCTATCCTCCAAATATCGGCGGGCTGTCTTTCTTTGAAGTTGCCATTTGGGCATGTGTTTGAATAGGTTTCTCTTTTGAACTCCAAAGGAGCCATTTTTTTTGTTTGGTTCCTTTTGGCTTCACATAGGTGTGTCTGATTTTTGAGGGTTTTGGGCTTAGGGTTGGTTTGAAGGGAAACCATACGGAAAGCAAGTGTTCAAATCTTGTGTCTGGGTTATACTTGATGTTGTGTCCAATGTAAGACCATTTCATCGGCGTAACACCCGCCTTGATTCTGAGGGGCAAAGCTAAGGGCCGTCTTCTGCGGTGGGAGTCAGAGGGTCACTTTCCAAGGCTCTTGAAATGGGAAACGATCTTTCGGGTCAAGGGCAAGGACTCTGACGCAACCTTCCTTGTCCGCATACTCCTGCATTTTTCGGGACCAACAGAAACTGCGTTGTTGAGGGAAGCTTTTTTGGCGTTCCCCTTTTTGGGTTCTATGTAAATCTGGGCAACAGTGTCCAGCAGATCACTGAGGATCCACCAAAAGAACCGCCATGCTTCGAAGAGCCATTTTGTGGGCCAGCCCTTTGATCTTGACCACACCTCCAGTGCCCTTTTATGCGGGCCCTCTACCACCAACTACCAGAAGGAAGGTGCCGCGTTTCCTCCTTTTTTTTGCAAAGCTTCCCTTAATTCACCTACACCAAAATGCCATGCCCTGTTTGCCCCGCAGAAAAAACATCCACCCTGGCGTTCCACATTCTCTATGTTTTCCAACAGTTTCCCAACATAGGTGTCCTTGTTGGTTGTTTTGGTTTAAAAAAAGATGGCGATTCCTGGTTTACCTGGTGGTTTAATCATGTATCAGGGAAGCCCATCTATTTCCCCTAAAAGGACGCCTATGGTTCCCAAGAGTTTCCGCTTCTTCCCCACCTCAGTTTTTCTCTTCCCGACTAGCAGGGATACAGGAAAAACCAGGGATACGGGAGGATTCCCCCGTTTGATGCGCATTGACTAAGGAACTGATATGGGAAATGGCGAGTTGGAATCCCTCCATATCGGGACCCGCTCCCTCCGTATCCCCGCGGAAGTTCGTTTGTCCAATCATGGACCGAATGAGCCCAGCGCGAGCCCAGGAGCCATGGCCGTGGCCTTGCGCAGGACGGTACCCGCGGCTGTGGGTCAAAAGGGGGAGGCAGTCACTAGCTACTTGGCTGCTATCTGTTTGCTCTGAATAGCACTGCGCACGGAATGTTTGCGGATGGCATGCTGAGAAAAGGACCTGGCTTAAATCTTTAGACTTTTAACTTTTGCATGAAATCAAGGGGTTTTCCACAACCCCCCCCCCCCAAAAGTTAAGCTTTTTGCAGGTGGGTCATAGTTGGCTGTGGCTCAAAAAAGTGGCACCCATGTTTAGGCCCCTTGGAAACAAAGACCAAAACCTGCGTAGCCCTAGCCCTTGAATTTTGAGCCACAACCAGATAGTGTTGAAAAAAAAACTTACTCTTGGCTTGGCCTAACCTTTGTTTCAAGACGAACAATCTTATGACCACGGAACCAAATGGGTTACCAACCAACCGAAATCCACCATGGGGCTTCAAATCCAGAAATTGTCTGACACCAGAGTCGTCCGGTGTCACATTTCCGTCAGAAGCCCAGATCAACGGACGCCGGAGGACCCATGCGTTGATGCTCTCTTATTTGTTGCCAGTCCTTTCGATCGGAAATCTTCCCCAGAATCAGCTCCCCTTTTGTTTTGTTTTGCTTTTTTTGGGTCCCTTTGTTGTCCACTGAACAGGCAAAAAAGCTATATGTAGATATATATTTTGCTGGGGTCCTGATTCCAGCCTAGAAATCAGGTATCCGTTGGAGGGGCATCCCGCGCTTTTCCAGGAGCCTCTCCGGAAGGAGCCTCTCTCGGTCTCAGGAGAGGGACCGAAAGGGTGGCTGATATAGCTGGAAGGGAGAACCAAAAGGACCGAAGACTGGTTGTGGGTCCCCTAAAAAAGACACACCCATACGCACCCGCTGTATTCCTACCATAGAAAGGGTATGTAACCCAGCCGCACCCGCTACTTTGGCAGTGATGAGCAGACCGCCTTAGAGTCTGTGAGAGCCCGCAGAATGGGTAAAGCGGAGCCAAAAGAAACCAAACCTCATAATCTTCCCCTCTGGGATCTTCTTTTTTACTTCACCCGCAGCAAATGAAGTTGTTGGCCTTTGTGTTTCCCAGGCTTCATTTTCAGAGGTGGCCAAAGGTCAACCTGTTATTTCCATGTCCTTTGGGATTAGCTTGGCTGGGGCCTGGCCTTTGAGGACAAAACCTCTTTTGGTTTAGGGATAGCCAGTGGCTTGATATTGGGGGGGGGCGAGATGGGGAAAGCACACGAAGGACGCAAAGGGTATCCTCCTTTGTGTCTTGGGCAACTATTCAATCATGCATGTATATATATATATTGTTATCATTATTATTATTATTGTTATTAATATTATTATTATTATTATTAGTAGTATTATTATTATTATTATTAGTATTTATTATTATTATTATTATTATTATTATTATTATTATTATTATTATTATTATTATTATTATTATTATTTATTATTATTATTTTGTATTATTATTACTACTATTATTATTATTATTATTATTATTATCATCATTATTATTAGTATTATTATTATTAATTATTATTATTATTAATTTTTATTATTATTAATTAGTTTTAGTATGTTATTATTATTATTATTGTTATTAGTTATTATTTATTAGTTATTATTTATTATTTATTATTTATTATTATTATTATTATTATTATTATTATTATTATTATTATTATTATTGTTTATTAGTATTCTTATTAGTATTATTATTATTGTTATTGTTATTAGTATTATTATTATTATTAGTATTATTATTGTTACTATTATTATTATTAATAATTTATATTATTGATAATGCTAATAATTATTATTATTAATAATTTATATTATTGACAATACTAATAATTATTATTATTCCATTTCATAGTGCGTAACACATGTAGCGCATCGGTATTCACTGTACTTATTGGTTGGGTATGGTCGCTGATTGTTTCTCGGTATATTAGTGTTATTTATGTGTGTGTTTTTGCTACGCCCAACTTGCCTGAAAACAGAAGCATGCATTGATCACAGAGAGGTTCATGCCGCACGTTCAGCACAGGCCGTGGTTTTGCTGGGGGTTCTCTTAAATACTACATCGTGCATGTTTTTTTGAGGGTACCTTTATTTGGTATATAGCGTTTGAAAAAGCGCAACAAAGGAGATGGTTGGTTCCGTGTGACTCCCTGGTTCCAACACGCTTGAAGTTTGGTCAAACATAATCCAGTCTATGGTCCACTTGAGAATGGGGCCTCTACGCTTCCTGCAAGAACCAGACAACTCACATGATGTCCCAGGAAATCATGCCCTCTTGAAGAACATCCAAGTGGGTTGAACATTGAACTGGTTGAGTTCCAAGAGTTTCATCTCGTATGGAATGATATGGTGAGTTACCCAGGGCCTACGCGGATCTTGGGCAGGACCCACCTAGCATCCCGGGCGTCGTCCCCGAGGCACCAAGTCGGAGTGAGTTGGCGCGTGTTGGTTGTTGGGAAGCATTTTACATTTGTTGTTTTTTGTGGTTTGGTGGTGGAAATCCAACGACTGAACTGCTAACACAATAAATGTTTGCTCCCCTTCCAACGTTAACCAAGGCGTCTCAGGGGAACCTTTGATCGCTTCCAGTTCGGACGCCAAGGAAGTGCCAGTGGCCCTTTACTTGGCTCTGTGAGCCATGACTCACCCAGCCAGTGGGCCTGTTTTCCCTGGTGGCTCTCCATTTATTTGAGTGGTGGCCCAAAAAGTGTGCACTTTTTTTGGGCTGGTCACTGGCCAAGTGAGACGACTATTCACTCGAGCGGACTTTCAACTTCTGGGAAGACCGTCCACAAGTGATTATAACGGGGTGGCGCTTGGAGAGCCAAAGCCAGCAGTTTGAAGTGGAACCTTAAAAGACGCACATGCTTATGGTTGCTTTCGGGGGTGATTCAACCACATAGCTGCAAAAAAGGTTGCAAACGTTGAAGCGTGAAGCATAATGGTTGAAGGTTGGGTGGGCACAATGTCCGGCCAGGGGTTGATCCCTTTAAAGAGAAACCAACAGGAGGCTGGTTGAGCTTTGAACCAGGGGTCGAATCGCCCATTGTTTCCAGGATACCCTGCTCATGTGGGAACGCCCCCCCATTTTGGGGGGTGGGGTCCCTTTGACATTCACCCATCCCAAATCCAGTTGTTTGGTTTGAAGCTTCGTCCACTTGCCCCACGACGTCCGCTGTCGAGCTTGCGGATTCCGAGATGATGTGACAAACCTGGCAGGCCCCGGCATGGTCGAAGGCATGCATGGGGTGGGGGGGTGGGCGGCAGCGACTCGCAAGTGCTGGGATGCTTTGATGGGTCAGGTACTCTCTCATGGCGGAACCTGACAAAACGTTTGGGGTCCTGCTTTGGACAACTTGCCTGTAAAGGGGACCTTCGGGTGGGAGAAAAGGTTCAGAGGGTGTTGGGCTTAGTGGAACAACAGGGGTTTGTCTTATGAAAGCCTTGCGAAGTGGGTTGAATCCGTATGTCCAAGTTGAGTTCAGGGCTCCTGGCAAACCGAACACTGGCACACTGGTTCCAAGTGAAGTCACCACCTTTATTGCAGGAGTTGTGCAGCCTCTCAGACTCATGAAAGAGGCCCCTTTCGCATATTCGGAGGCCTTAGTTTCGGCCAAGGCCCATGCAGAGTTCACTGAGATGTGACAGAGATGTGTTCAATAAGAGCAAGGCTCGAGTAATTAGTTCCCATGGGTCTCCACTTTTCGCCGCATGAAGCTTTGTGCTGCCCTTCTGGCGTGTGGTCTATATCATGGTCGAAACTCGAGTTTTCCATTGTTTGCTACAATCAAAAAGAGCCTCTGAAAAGCAAGGATGAAAAAATCAGCCCAAACTGCCCTTTGTGTGGGGGGGGGGGGGAGGTTTCGAGTTGGGCAAGTCAGGTTCGGGGTCGGACAGGAGAACTAAGAAGGGCAGGGTTTCCCATTGAAAGATGAAGATGTGCTTCCCGTAGTGAATTTGAACGCCTGCAACGGGAAGCTGGTTGGAAAGCTATGTCAGTTGATTCATCGAATGACGCGAAGCTCGCAGTTGTTCCCCTTGAGACACAAATTGGGCCCTTTGGATTGGTTTCACTTTGGATTCAGGATCTTGTCTGGGAAACCACGGAACACCCAAGAACCAGCCACTGCGCTTCCGAACATTTGTGGGCACAATGGCGGCCAAACTCCACCCATGACACAGCGGGAAGAGGCCAAAGGTGGAGACAGCAGAGTGGAACCAGCCTCAGATCCAGCAAACGAACCTGATGATGAGCAGCCAGAAGTGCCTTTTGCTCGAAACAATCAGGAGGTCTTCCTAGACCAGAATCAGTGGTTCTTTGGCACCGAGGATCTCATTATCTACAAAGGGAAATTTCAGGAGCTCACACAAGAGGATGCCAATTGCATTCATAGCCTCAGACGCAATCTAAACCCGGGTAACAGAGCCAGATTGAAGTAATCTTGTTGCCCTTAAAGGCCCTTTTGTGGTTTCTTTATTTTCCCTTCTGACCGTTCTGACCACCAACATGTAAACTTGTTGCAGATCTAAGTCTCAGTACCGGACAGCCCAACCATAAATGGGTGCAGATATTTGCCCTTTTAACTCATGGCATTTGGTAGCACACTTATGTACCAGGTCTTGATTATATATTCAATTGGCCTGGCCTATCAAGATCTTTAGCCTTATTTGGCCTTACGCCTTGACCCCCGAGGGTGCGTCTTTGAAGAAGGAGCTTGTGTGAATGTCCTTGGGAGTCGTTGGCGGGGGGCGGAAGGAAGCCAAGAACAAAAAAATCGCAGACTAGACTCGCAGTGTCTATTAACAGGGGGGAGGCGGTGCATATATGTATCTGTGTGTGTGTTGGCTTGAAATGGGTTCTCCTTTTTGAACGAAAACCAAACCGAAAACCAAACGAAGAGCTCTTGGGCCTCCAGAAAGCCGCGCCGCGCGCCGGACCCCCGATCACGAGCGCCAGTCCGAGCGCTCCGAGCGCTCGGACCGCGCGGAGTCCAAGAAGACGCGCTTCACAGAGGAGGACCCAGCGAGAGCAGACCATCGGGTTTCCTCCACCCCGAACCGGAAATCCAAGTGGGTGTGTGTGTGTGTTGTTGTTTTTTTTGGTGGACTGCCCAAAATGGTGGTTTTCCTTTTGGTTTCTCTGTCAAACCAAACAGGGTACCCTCAAAAAAAGACAGACCCAAGTGGGCTCGTAAGACAAAGTCCAGGAAAAACGGTTGCCTGAGCTGGTGTGGGCATGGGTTGAGTGAATGTCTTATCCCTTCAAAGGCAACTGGACTTCACAACCCTCCAACAAGTATGGAAGCGGACGACCAAAGGGTTTTGGAAGTCGACTTTGCTTTTGCAATGATTGTGTCCATTGGCCAGACAGTCTGACAGCCTTTGGCGACCCACAAATGGCTGTTACCATTGGGGCACCGATTGCTATCACTGAGATTCCTTGAAGGATGTGGGCCTTACAAGACGCCCCTTTTTGCCCCTGGCGGCATCTGAGAATGTCTCTTCTGGCATCTTTGACATATTTCGTTGGCCCTTTGGTCGTTGAGGAGCCTGAGGAGATTGACACCTCCGAGGGGGAGGTGCCGGAGGCGTTTCTCGCGTTTCGTGTCGACGGCTTTTTGCATGGCGTCGCCTCCAGTTGTTTGTGGTCCCAAAAAGGTGAGTCACAATCAAAAACCTATGAACATGACCTGCCCAAACCAATGCAAACCGGGTTTTGAGTATGGCTCTGGTCATCACCTTGCTGATATCTGGGTCAAGGAGCAACTGATTTCAAGGTTTACTATCATTTACATGAGGATTTGTGTTCACCAACCCTTGTTGAGGGTGTGTCCTGTTCAAATTTACGGCCACATGGGTTTAGATTGGCATGGGTCAGGGCTCCCTATATTTCCCCTTTTCGTATTAAGACACCACCTGTGTCCATTTCAAGTGTTTGTTTGTGGTGATGTAGGGGAAACCTAGGCCCGACTCTCAGATCGTTTCAGGGGGCCCTTCTCTCATGGAAATCCGCTGGGGGGGGGGGGAGGGGGTGGTTGCAGGGGTCTCCTCCAAGACGAGTTCATAAGGTTGACGAAGTATGAAACGACCAAACTGGGATCAGGGGCCCCGTAGTGTCCCCCCTTTAGTGTTACTTCACTCTTCTTGGCGAGCTGTTTTTTCGTTTGTTTGTTTGTTTGCTTGCTTGCTTGCTTGCTTGCTTGTTTGTTTGTTTGTTTGTTTGTTTGTTTGTGTTTTTGGGTGCTGTTCATTTTTAGGTTTGAGGGCTGCAAAATCAGTCAGTGTTTTGCAATCCCATACCACGGGTTGTGAAGGTTGGCAATCGCGCTTTTGGCCCATGAAAGCGTGGACCCTGTCCCAAAACCGAAAGTTGGTCGTATGTTGTGTTTGGTTTCGTCTTGCTCGCCGAGTTCCTGGACTTTAATCCGCTTGGGCTTGGACAAAACCAGTGGTGCGCAGAAAGCTCAGACTGGGCAATCCACTCGAGCTCGGTCCAACTCGAATAAACCAGGACATGTCTTGGTTCGCTTTTAGGATTCCCCCCGCCCTCCCCTCAAATTGTCAAAGACTCATGTTAAACTCGGGCCACTCGAGAAGAAGGCGTGCCAACAGCAAACTTACATTTGAAGGGAGTAAACAACTGCCCCGAACGGTTCGAGAGAGCATGGAAAGATGAACCGGTGTTTGATTCCAAACGGAGATTCTGCCATTGACATGGACAGGTGTGGGGTGTCCAGGTTGCAGGTGGCTTCTTCACCCCCGGGGCACAGTTGCTGATGTTCCCTGATGTTCCAGGGTGTTCCAGGGTGTTCCATGTAGTTCCCAAAAAAAATCATGTCATGCCCCCTGGGATTTGTTGTTTGCCTCTCGCCCACAGTTTTCCCCTTCCCTTCTCGCCCAAAATATGCCCCGGCTGACTGGCGGGGCTCGCTCGTGAGGAGTCGGACTCCTCCAGCTCAAGCCCGGGCCGCCGTCTCGGTTCCGGCGAAAAAAAGACGGGGGCCCTTGGTTGGTGGTGCGATGGGTGGGGAAGGACTTCGCGAGTTTCCGGGGGTTGGGAATGAACCGTTCCAGTTGTTTTTTGTGTTTTTTTTTTGAGAGGAAGTGCTTTCAGCCTTCTCATTCCCTGCTGCAAGCACCTTGAGAAATGTGAACCGCGGATCTAAGATATGAAGGCCCTGTGCTATTTTAGCCGCCCGGAACCCCCTGGGAACCAAACCACCCCGATGGCGCCTGTCTGGGAGGCACATAGCTTCCAGCTGTTGAGGTAAGACCTGGTTGGGGGTCTGGTGATCTGTCCTTTCCCACAAATGGTTGGTGGAGGGTGATAATGAATTTGAAGGGGCGTTTGTTAGTGAAGGCGAGTCTGCGGTTCTGTTCCCTGCATGTTTAGATTGGAGCTGGTACCAACTTGCTGGACCTTGTTCGGGTGGAAGTTTACAAGGGATTGTGGGCTGTGGGCCGTTCCTAAATGATTATCAAAGACCTGTTCGGGCAGGGTTGGGTTTTGGGGTGCCGGTTTGAAGTTGTTCCTTCTTGGGGGAGGGGGCAATCAGCAAATTGATCAACTTTTGAGGAGGACATCCAGTGACCTCAGGAAAGGGCGTTCTTTTCCCAAAGCCAGTGTCTGGTGGTTTAGCTAGGAGTGCTCTTTTGACCCCTAAACATGGGGGCATTTTACCTTACCAGCCAGCCCCTGCCTGGATGGGAATGTCTAATCCCCTCCAAGCTTGATTGTTCGGAGGGCGTTGTTCTCTGCATGCGGTGTCCGCCAAACTTTCCCGCTAGCTTCAGAAAGTGAGGGAATCACCTACGGAACCATCCAACAGATTTCCTTGGGCTCCCAATATCCTTACCGGTTCATTCCCAAAGCCCCAGAATTACACGGCAAGCTGCCCAACTCGCAGTCATGCCACCTTACACAGATGAATCGGGGAGATATGTAAAACGCCAAATTAAAGATGTGTGTACCAGTTGGGAAAAATATTAAGATTGCAACTCCAGTAAAATAAGCTCTTATCACTGTCTAAATCTACTGTATACATATGATGTCCCCAAACAAGACTTCCAAGAAGAGAAGCAGATGACATAGCAAAGATCCTTGATTGCTTAGCAAAGATTATAAGCTGTAAAACCCCAAAATTCTTTATGAAATGATCCCAGATGAGGGAATTATTAAGATGCAAACTTATGGATGTCAAGCCAACCAAAATAAATGTTGATAGAATGCAGATGAATACAGGCTCTCCTCCAACTATTGGATCAAAGAAAAGTGTATTAGAAGGAAGACCATCCAACATTAAAAGACGTGTACCAGATAAGATAGGTAGTGTTAATAAACACACTGTAAACAAGAAAGAGAGAGAACATCATAGGATAGGCATTAATACAAGATAGCAAGATCTCAGATTTAGAATTGTTGTCCAAGAGATAAGAGATGTAAGACATAAATACATACCAGAAACTCAGAGTCCTAATGTAAGAAATAGAAAGGGTTAGAAAGAGATGAAAGTAAATGGTGAATGGGTCTCTTCTCTTCCCATCACAAGCTATTTACTTTAATAATCTCATTCCTCATCCTCTTTCTCCAATCTATGTAATATGTTTTTGTTAATGTAGAAAATAGATGGATAAAGGGATAGAATCAGCGGTGGAAGAGCAGCTACATTAGAAATATTTTATCTTAGCTCCTCACCCCCCGTTTATCTCTTCCACATCATCCTTTCCATTCCATTCCTAACTTCAAGATTTGAGGAATGGAAAGGTAGGAAGAGATATGAAGTGAAGAAAAATAGGTGAAGGAGATGGAGTCATAAAATCCGTTCCATCTCCCACCTCTCTCACCATTTGGACGAGTCTCTGCACCGTTAAATCGTTCCACGCTCAGGAGGGGGATTCATATCCTCTCCTGTTCGTCCCTTCCCTTGCCACCATCGGTTATCCCTTGATTTGTGGCTCGCCAAGGAAAACAGCTTGATTTTGATGGCACCTTCATGCCGGTTCATCTTAAATAAACAAAACATGAAGGTATGCCATCTCTTATTTCCTTTCCCTTACCTTTCCTTTCGCTCGTCATCTCACTTTTTGGAAAGAAAACAGATGAAAGAAAGAAGAAGAGAGAAATGGCTGGTGAGGAAGTGATTAAGAGATCCATCAATCATCATCCATCTCTCCATTCAAGCTCGGCTTTCATCTGGATTCTTCATTCTAATTCTCTTTCAGTCATCTGGTCCAACAGTGACTAGATGCAACTCTTGCGTTCACATAGCCGTTAACTCCCGTCCTCGATTCACCAAGATTTGGAGAGTGAAGTTCACAAGGGAAAGGGACTATACAGTTCCTCGTGCTTACCACTTCCCAGGGGTGGCTCCTGCGACTTTCGCGCCCACGGCAGGCTTGTTGAAATCCAACGAGGGCAGTATGCTTCTTCTACTGCGCTTCGCAGGAAGGCTTGCCGAGCTGAGATGGCTCACTGGGTGCCGACTTTGGGCGCAGCGACAGCCACCAGTGCTGCTTCTAGTGGGTAGCTTCCAGTGCACCCTGGATTTGAGCCACCCCTTGTTCGGGGTAGCTCCTGGTTCTTGCTGGTTCGACAGCCACCTATAGCACCCTCAACAAGAAGGGGCTCAAATCCCGCAATCCCCGAGCCAAAGGTCCCCGAATTTCGAATCCCAGGTCTCCAACTTCGAGGCCCTGAGCCGCCGACCTCGAAGCCCATGTCGATGCCCTCGGAGGAGCAGACGGGAGAAAGCGAGCGCAGGGCTTCATGTTGAGGGTGTCTGGATTTGTTTTAAGGAACAACAAGACTGATGTCTGGAGTTGACTTTTGGGAACTGGTTTCCAGTTTCACCAACTTCAAGATTCACTCCGGATGAGTAAACCCCTGGTTGATTCATGGGGGCGTCCACTTTTAGCAGGAATCCTTCCCTGTTTGTGGCGACGAGAATCGACCTTAAGCCTCGTTCAGAGGGCGCAACCCAGTTTCACCAGGCCGCAAAGGGGAAGCCCTCCAGGACAGCGCCACAAACCCCTTGAGCCTCATGAAGCTGGGCTTGATCCAGGAGTACAAGGCCGGCGTGAGGGAGTGTGCGAAGCGAACGAGCGAGGGAGCTGGCTCCAGCTGCACACGTCGCTGCACGCCAAAAGCACCGCGCCTGACCAGCTTTGTTTGTGGGTCATGTACGAAAAAGGCAAATTATCACACTTTTATTGAAGCCCGCTTTGGCTCTCCAGCTACGAAGTCCCACTGATTTTGCGGTATGTTCGTTTGGGGGATGCAAATAGGAGCCTAGCACGCTGTGGGGGACGCAAACCACTCATTCCTTGGGTTGCCCCCCTGGCTTTTCAGGGCTCCTTAAAAGATACAGTTTGCAACCATTTGAAACATGGCTTTTTCCACCAAACGAAAGGAAAACAACACCATTTACAAGGCAATGTTCGGGTGTATAACGTAAGGATCCCTGTTTCCCCCTCAGAAAAGCCAAGGTCTGAATGTTGACCCAGGATACCCACACCTTTCAAATGTTATTCTAGGTCCCCCAGCTAGGTGCCCTTTTGCTGTTTCTGTTTTTTGGGGAGGGTTCCCCTACTAAAATAGACTACAGAACACAGGGTCCCTTTCTGTTATTCTAACCTCTCTACTGGAGGACCTAGTATTGCATTTGTTTAAGAATTAACATTCTTCAGTTGGTTTTGGAGAGAATTTGTCACAAGCTGGAAATATGCGCATATGATTTCCATCCAGGGGATTCAATCAAATGCAGTTTACAATCACCCGCCTAAAGTGGTTTGTTGCTGGAAAGACCCTGCGCTTGCCAACTGTTTGGCGTCCTTTCGGTGGGTGACATGGGGTGGGGACATGAATAAACCCCGCGCTAGCAAGGCTCTTAAATTGGAATCCACTAAATTCTGACCGTCAAGACTTAACATGCACCATCTGGGGCTCAGGTTGCTTTCCTGGGTGCTTTTTGTGGGGTGGTGTGAAGGCCGTCTGAAACCAACGCCCACGTTGAGGATCCGGTCTAAGCAGTGTCCTCTTGGTACCTTTGGCTTAGTGGGTTGCCCACTTTACAGAAACCGACTTTCATAAACAACCCGGTGGATTCCACCGTTTAAACCATTTCTTTGGGCTCCCGTTTCAAAACCGATCAGCCCTCTTACAAAAATTGACGCAGTCGTCCATTAAAGCTCGGCTCAGGAACCCCAGCCATTGATTATTCTGGGAAGAGAAGCATGAGGGAAACATGACTCGCCTCCCCTACCTACAAGGGTTTGTTTGTTTTAGGGGTGTCCTCTAACACGGTGGTGTCCTGGTGGTGTCTCTTTTCAACCACCCAAAAAAGGGTACCAACTCAATAAAAGGAAACCACACCCACAGCTTTTCAGGGAAGAGTGCCTACTCCCCTTCCCAAAGCGTGGTTTTTTGATCCTATAAAAAAGGGCGGCGTTTCGAGGCTCCAAATGGGGAACCCACCCTCCAGGCCAGATTCCTGGAAAAGGTGAAGGAGAACCGCCGCGAGCGTTTCGGCCGATGGGTCTGAGTGCATTTGGTCCCAAAGCTCTGGGGTGGTTCAGCAGCTTTCAGCAAGTTCGGGGCTTTTGGGGATATTAATTGGGCTTTTATCCAGAGGCATGTTGGCCAAGCGATCTTGAAGTGTTGTTCATACCGGGGTGTTATATTTCTTTGCAGCAGTAATTGAGTACCCCAAAGCGATGGAGGTCTGATCTTTACGAAAGCTCCCCTGTCCACTACCACCGATTGGAAAGAGAATCGCCTTTGCTTTGTCCTTGGGCAAGAGAGACGAGCAACACACACATATGCTTATATGTTTGATGGTCCAGTTTGGTATTCCAAGCAACTTGCTCTCGGACACTCGAGAAAAGAACCCAAGCATTTGGTTGTGCATATGGGTGTTTGGTTAACTGAGGCATCCGAAACAGTCAACCACCACTTTCCTGTTAGGGGGCACTGCTCTTATCAGTACTCTACTTTGCGGGGTCAGCGTATATACCAAGAGAAACTGGCTGCTGGCTACCACTTGGGTTCAACGAATTCTATCAATGGAGTACTTGACGCAAAGGCATGTTCCACATCTTCAAAATGTATTACAACAGGGTCCACTTGTAGGAACTCTACCGAAGATGCGAAACTCTCAAGACTTGAAGCGTTCAAGGGAGAGTTGGACGAAACATGTTTGCTCATAGTTGTGCACCCCTTTTTGTTTTTGGCGGTAAGCTTAGCAGGTCAGCGCCCAAGATCACACGCCTGATGAGAGCTTGAACTTGAACTGTATCAATATGTACAAAATGAACCCTGTGTAAGAGTTGGAGACTGTCGTATTGGTGGAGCCCACCCGACCCTAACCCGAAACCCACCCAACCGTCCACTCTAAACCCGCCCTAACCCACAATAAACCCGGACAAAGCATGCGGAGAAAAAAGCGGGGAACAGATCAAAAAACAACAATAATAATAGTAATAATAATAAAGGCAGGCTGCCCGGACCTTCAAAACTTTTACGGGGCTCGATTTTGTGGGGAAGGCCACGCCAAGCAGTTTGCGCTTGGCCAACCCAGGAAGTGAGTAAATGCTTTATGGCTATTTGGTTAGATCTTTTGACTTCGACTTTTTGGGAAACAGTGGATTGCCGATTGGACTAACAAAAAGTCAAGCTTTTGCAGAGGGGTCAACGGCAACCAGGAGTGGTGTGTTCTTGAAGAAGGATTCCAAGAACTGTTCAACCCTTCTGTTTGCCCAGGGATTATTAAACGATGTAAGTGTAGCAAACAGCTGGACTTTTTGCCAGCTGCTCAAACGTGCTTGGTGATTGTCTATTTTGTCCCTGAATTGAACGCTCAAGAGAGGCGTTAAGCATCACCCCTCGGAAAGTCAGGCTTGGGAACAAAAAGGGCACTCGAAGGTGGTTTTGGGTCTTTAGTACTGGAGAAGGACCATATTGCTTCTATGGTTCCTTTTCTCCCTCCCTGAGTTTGCGAGCTTCTGACTTGTTTTTGTTTGGACCGTTTTAGTGACAACCCAAAAAGTTTAGGGACTTGTGTTGGCCGTCCGTTTTTTGTTTTCTTCTGGAAATTATACCTTCTTGGGCTTGGACCATTTTAGTGGCTCGATGTTCCAAACCGGGCCACGAGTTCAAGTCCAGCCAGCCGAGGGTCACCTTGCCAGCCGCCGGCGCCCCAGTTGCGCATGTTCCACGGGGAAACCGCTCACCTGGGAAAACGGGGGGGGGGGGGGAGAGGCGGGGTTTCTTCCATTTGCTTAAGAATATTCTATATTTTCTCTTGGTGGTTTTAAAGGGAATCGATTTCACTACTGGAAATATGTTCTCATGTCTTCTAGGGGGCGAAAAAGCGAATGGACGGTTTACACATTGTATAGCTCGGATCCCCAGTCACTTTCTGGGTAGGTTTGGACTACTTTGGTGGCAAAAACATATATATATATATATACATATATATATATATGCTCACCCCCCCCCCCAGGGCCTACCTTTCCACTTCAAAATGTACAAAACCCTCTTATTTTTAAAGACAGGGGGTGTGAGCATATATACGCAAGAAGTGTGCTGTTGCTGCATATTTGTTTGTGGGTGACAAGTCATGTTGAGTATCAACAGCAAAGAGTTTATAAACTTTCAAGACAGTTTATAAACCATGTCAAGGGTTTGACGGTTTCCCTGCAACAAGGGCAGGGGGGGGTCAGAACTCTTTAGGGGGGGGGGGGAGGGGGGGGGGGGTACTGAGAAGTCTTTACAAAGTTGGCTGAGTCACCCTCACTGCTAAGACTTCCAACCACCACCCCCCCCCCCCCCCTCCCCCCTTTCCAACCACCCCCCCCCCCCCTCCTTCAACGATACCATGAACACTTCACCTTGACGCGGGAAACTCGTCAAACACTCAATAAGGTTTATAAACTTTCCTGAAAGTTTATAAACCTTCTGTAGGCTTATTGCGTAGCAAGTGGAGACTGTTGTTTGGGAAAAAAAGGACACTCATTTGAGGCCTTGTTTGATGTGGTTTGGGCATGTGGTCCTAAAAGGTTGATGATTGTGTGTGTGTGTCATCACTGCTGCACTGTTATATCAAAGGCTGTCCATTCGGTCCAAGGGAACACAATCTGAGCAACTGCTGCAAAACACTCTGTTTTACAGCATTTTGTTGGATCTCTAATCCCTTCAAATGTCCAATTTGAAACACCTGAAACCTAGAATCTGGAGATCAGAATCCTTGAGATGTCTAATGTTGGATTCTCCAAGCCTCATAATTTGGAGCCTGGAGTACTCCAACACGAATTGAATTGGAATGTTGAAGGGGGCAAAATGTTTTTTGGGAAACGAACAATCTTCGGCCCAAGGGAACACAATCTGGGCAATTTCTTCGAAACACTTTGTTTTACAGTTTTTTGTTGGACCTGCAATCCCTTGAAATGTCCATGGTGAAGCACCTGAAACCTAGAATCTGGAGATCAGAATCCTCGAGATGTCTAATGTTGGATTCTCCAAGCCTCATATTTTGGAGCCTGGAGTACTCCAACACGAATTGAATTGGAATGTTGAAGGGGGCAAAATGTTTTTTGGGAAACGAACAATCTTCGGCCCAAGGGAACACAATCTGGGCAATTTCTTCGAAACACTTTGTTTTACAGTTTTTTGTTGGACCTGCAATCCCTTGAAATGTCCATGGTGAAGCACCTGAAACCTAGAATCTGGAGATCAGAATCCTCGAGATGTCTAATGTTGGATTCTCCAAGCCTCATATTTTGGAGCCTGGAGTCCAACATATCCAAGTACACATTCCTTTCCAAATACGATTTTTGATCCGAATTGAATTTGCATATTGAATAGAATTTAGTAAGCACATAGTTCACCACCATTCATAATTCACCATAATGTCTATATTAGATCAGAATTTGAACAGGAATACCTTTCCAAATAAGGAAAATATCATTGCAGTAGAATCCAAATATACTTTAATGCAGACAGAGTTCAATTAGCTTTTGAACATAATAATTTGATTAAGAATCCATCCCCAAATACAACTTGAATTGGAATATAGCTTATTCTGGAAAGAAATCACTTGGCCTTTGCAAACAAATTTTAATAGTAACTCATTCCCAAATATGATTTAGCTTAAATGTGGCTAAACAAATAAAGGGCACATATCCCCAGACTCCCAAACTTGGTCTGGAGATGTGTTTGGCATGTGCAGGTCTCAGAGCTTTCATTTTCAGGAGATTTTGTGCTTTTGGGTCTGTGCAGGTTGCAGAGCTCAAAGCTGCCAAAAACATCATTTTTTCGATGTTTTTCCCTGGTGTACTCAAAACCACTGTAAAAACCAGTGATTCAATCAAAGCCAGGCTCGAATCTGAAAACGGAATCCGTTTTCGCTTTGCTGCCTTTCAAGCCTCAAAGAATCAGACATCTGCTGTCATATAGAAGGTAAACAAAACAACAAAACACTGTATTTTACAGTGTTTCAGGCATCTGCAAGAAAGAGGCACACAGAGTAGAGTTGACACCTTCAACTAGAAGAGGGCAAAGGTAGGCCCTGGGGGGGGGGGTGACCATATATATATATATGTACATATATATATACGGCTCATCTTGGCCAATCCACTGAGGAAGTGAGATCGTGGCTATATAGTGGGCTTTTTGTTTGGAGATCGTGGAAGGCTCCCAGACGCCAAAACTTGTGCGGTTCCTTGTTTGGCGATTCCAACCGTTTGGTTGGAAGCGTGGACGAGTGGTATGTCCAATCAAGCCCCTTTCGGAATGTTATTGTTTTGTTTTTGTTTTTTCTCCGGGCCATTCCATTGCTCATTCCCTGCCTATCATTTGCAAGTTTAAACCTAGTTTGAAAGAGCTTTCTCAAAATCACAGCGCCAGATGCGACCCCAGGCTACTGGCATCTTGCGGGAGGTGCCCTTCTTCCGGGAGTTCGACGATGTGCTCTCAGGCAATTGAGCGCACAACATGCGTCTCTGGACTCGTACTGTGGATGGCTGCGAATTCCATGTTGCGAAACCATGAAATGAAACCATAACGTGTGTTTGTATTTACGTGGGGGAAACATCAGAAGCCAGTTTTCCTTAGGTGGCGCAGGAGTTCATTCATCCACAGGATGGCTAGGATGTTTGTGCTTTAATTGGGGATGGCATTGTTTACATTGCGATTCATGTTCACCAAAGCTTCTCGAGGGTTTTGCCTATTAAACTCATGGTATGGGTTTAGGTTTGCATGGGTCAGGCTCCCTATGTTTCCCCTTTTTGGATAAAGGCATCAGCATCACCTTTTGGGACAAAGAGTTCCTTTTGGTGGGGCGGTGCTCGAAGGAAAAATATAAGAACACTAGGTCTGCTCCAAAAAGGAGGGACCTTAACCGAGTTCTTGGACTTTGTACTCTTTGGGAAGACCCTTTAACTTGGCTAGTCTTTGGTGTGACCGAATCGCCCCAGGGTAGATGTGTGTTGGTCACTCCACTCGGGAAGTGCGACATGGAACCCAAACAATCAGAGTAATCTCCTCTTGGGGGAAGCCTTTTGGACAAAAGCGAAGACAAAGATGCCGGCGAGTTCGCCCTGGTCGTGTGCCATGGAGGCGGACCAAGGACCTCCACAGGAGAGCATGCTAAGAGGCAACCATCAGCCAACACATAATGTTGACCCCTAATCAACAAACCCCTCAGATATGTTTCAGGGGTCCCGGTTTTCCTGGAAGAAAGGAACCCCCACTAAAAAGGAATCCTGATTTAAAACTGAGGGGTTTGTTACCCAGGGGTCAACATTTTCACGGGCACTCCGGTGCTTCGAGTTGTGCGATGCTACAAGCCTGAGAGCTCAAAGTGAATCTCGGAACCTAAGGATGGATACTGAAAGGGGCAGGGTAAGTGGCTAAGCCTGGCTACAACCCACTGAACGGAGACTTGCCATGACTTTGGCGTTGTAACCACAGGTGTTTACCCACTTACCTGACCTACCATTGCCCCAAGGCTGGCACCGGCTCTCAGGAGAGTGATTCCATGGATTCAGATCGACGCGGATCTTTGGGTGTCCATGTCAGACTCCATACGCCTCGTATCTACTTCCACGTGACGCGCACAGGCGCCAAGTTTAGAAACCACGGTGCCATCGTGTGCTGGAAGCTCGTAGTAAATCTCAGCGTCTTAGGTTATCTTGAGTTGGTGGCTTGGCTTTTCTGGGATGGCTTGTCTGGACCCCAAGCCCTTGATAAACGGAAAACCTCCCCTAGGAAAAAAACAGCCTAGGATAAAACAACACCTCTACCACACTGCACAACCACACTGTTGTTTCTTACCGGAAACCCTAAAAATCCTCTGTTGGTTTGCTCTCTGTACCGCTTGAAATCCCGGGCGTTGATGTGGATGTTGTCCCAGTCGGGGCTACGCTTATCCTGCCAATCGTTTCCCACCAAAACGGTAGACCCCGACGAGACGGCCATGGTTCGCAGCAGGACATGGGTTTGGGAATGAACCGGATGGAGATCCCTTTAAAAAACCCAGTTCAGTTTGGCGCCATTCCTTCCTTCCCTACTGAGAACGAGCAAGCAAGGACCGTATTGCGCATTTGTCAAAAAGGCAAGGGGGGTGGACTTGCAAAATGGTTTTCCTTCTAGCTTCCCAAGCATGGATCCAGGCACCATCTTCCACCTCTCCAAGCTCTCGCTTCTGCAAGATGCTGAAGAAGGCGAAGTGGACCATCCAACTGGTGCATCTTCCCTTTGAGGGGGATGTCCAGGCTTCAGGTTTCTGGAAAACCTGGGTGGGACTTTCGAGCGGATTCTGTGATACCGAGTGATACCTAACGGAACCTTTTTTGGGGTAAAGAAAGTGGCCATGGAGATGGGAATCCCCCTGCGGTATCACGGAAAGGGGAGGAAGTTCCTCAACCATGGCTCATACCCAATTGGTGCCCGCGAGTTGCTCCGAACCCACGGCCAAGGGTAGAACATGGCTTTGCATTTTTCTTTGAACTCCTTCTTGCGGTACACTCCCACCAACTAGCATGGAAGTGCAAAAAGGCCCTTTCCAAGAGGAAAGTAGTCTTTCTACAGGGGTGTGTGCACTTCCATGTTAGCTGGTGAGAGGGTAGGTTTTTCTGGGACACCAAAAGAAAAACCGCCCATGAAACGTTCCACCCACGTCTTTCGCCGCCTTTTTCGGGCAGGCGAGGTGCTCTTCCGGCAGGGCGACGACCCGGTGGATTGCTACGTGGTGATGCGAGGCGGAGCGATGGAGCTTGTCCCACTAACCCCTGGCTTAGATTGGGGTTTATTCCATTTACCAGGGCCAACTAGTTTTTTTTGTTTAGGCCACCTATGACGACAGACCTTCCGGTGGACACGAGGTTTGGGGCTTGTCCATGGTTGTTGTTGGGAAACCGTTCACATGTTTGCTTGTTGTGGTTAGTGGGAAATCCCCAAGCTTTTTTTTGTTGGTCCCCTTCCAACATCAACCAAGTGTCTCGGGCTTTGGCCGTTTTTGTTGAACCAATTCAACGAGCAGGACAACCCCAGCATGCCACCGACTCATGGGCAGACAAAACAACATCCACAAAGAAAAGTTGTTTCATTGTAGATACTGCCACCACGGTTCTAAATCAGGACAACGATTAAAGTAACAACTAATAAAAGGTTGTATGGCAAATGAAATTCAGCATGCATAATTACCAGAAGAAGGAACAACAACGGAATTTGAACATCATTCTGAGAAGCTGAAATCCTTTATGGTGAGTTTGAATGCTTAACAACAAGAACCTCAGATGGCATAAAAGGGACTTATCAGAACCATAAACCCAGCGATTATATGCTTAACCTTGTTGATGTGTATAGTGGAGAAATGAAGCTATTTTTGAATATAGAGGCGAAGATTGTGTGGATAAGTTTTGTGAAGCATTAAACAATACTAGAGGCGATGTAATGGAACACATGAAGAAATCTAAAGATATGATTATGTCATCTGCAAATTCCCGGTGCTTGGGCAAAAGCTGTTTGTGTGTGTGTGTGTGGTTTGAAGCAACACAGGAGGTCGAGTAGTGTCTAAGATTATGTTAAAATGGTCATCACTGAATTTAGCTGCCAAACACCCATTGAAATTGCGTAGCCCCGTATGTATACCAGATTCCATCGAACTACTATGAGAATGGTCATCCGACAATGCTAGCGAGGTAGGCAAATCCTTGCAGCGAGGATCCTCCTTGGTCAGGTAAGACCTGTCCACACTGTCATCTAAGCTGTTCTGAGAACATTCTCGATTCTGTTTCGAAAACCCTTTGCGAGGTCGTTTGAGTGGTTAGCAAAGCGGTGCGTCACTTTTGGTCGGGCGAATCATTCCTTTCGGAAAATCCTCTTTGGTGAGCAGGGAAGTTAATTTCTTTTTTTGGTGAAATCTGTTTGCCCACCAATTAGTGGGACAACCCATTGCAGCGAATCCTCTCAATTAGAAGCTTTGTTTGCTTTGGGGAGTCCGTTTTAGGACAATCCAGAAGGGAGTTCCCGTTGCGTGAGCAAAAACATCAGTGTCTTGTTTTGCAGGGCCAACTTCCCAGACTGCCAGTGGTGCCCTTGGTTTCTTTTTGTTGCAGGGGGAAAGCGTGTTAAAACCAACCAACAGGGGCAAGACGCCCCAAACCAGTCTTGGGACCTCCGTTTTGGCAAAATTTTCGCGAAGCCCTTTTTCTCCACTGGAAATCCATTGAGCTTCTGAGAAGTCTCGACAAGTAGTTGGGGGGCGTTTTCAAGTACCCGAAATGGGTGGTGAGCTTTTTGCCCCTGTCACCAACTCGCACATGTGCTATGTGTTTCTTTTGGAGAGGCCCTTTTTTGGCAGGGCCTTCGTTGAGAACTTGTTTTTGAGTACCTGGACCCTCAAAGTACACTTAGAAATGGGTTGGTTGGTGAATTCCGTCTTTTTTATGGGTAGGTACTATGAGGTACTCAGGTAACCCTTAGTTGGTCGTTTGGATTGATGATTTGGGGGTTCGAACCCGTGGTTCTTGAGGGCAAATTGGAAACCTCTCAATCCACGAATTTGTGGGAAGCTGAGATTCCCTTTCTGGAGCAGGTGCCGTGGAGGTCTGGATCCGCAAGGAGCGGTTCACGTCGGAACTTCCGGGGCTGTCGGTGTTTGGAGGATAGCCCCTTCGAAGTGGTAAAGGGAAATCGAGTTCTTCCAATGGCTGAAATGACTGCCTTCGGCCAATGGCGAAGGGGGAACAGCTTGGCTGCACTTCGGTGTGCCATGCTTTTGTTCAGAAATCACCAGTTTACCTGGGTGTGTTTGCCATGTTCTGAAAGAGAAGGATTTTTGAACAGAATGGACTAGTGCTAGAGTCGAGCAAGCACAAGATGCATTCAATCCCAGACCTGCCGGGGACACCTCTTCAAAATTTGCCAAAAGAAGAGGCAAGTCTGTTTGCACCCTGGAAAACAACTGGGGGTTGCTGGGTATTTGTAAACGGCTACCTGTTTCGTCGTTGCTTCGGAAAACTCAAGGAGAACCCATTTGGGAGGGTTCCCTCACAACTAAGAAATCCAGGAAGCCCAAAAAAAGGACGACAACTTGTCTTGCTAATTCTCAGCAGGGAACGAGGGAATGACCCCTACAAGGCATCTCCTGTGGATTGTTGGAAGGAAATCTCCAGGTTTTTTTCCCAAACCCTGGCGCATTCCCTAGCGATCGCACCAGCAAGAGGCTTTTGGGTGCATGGTGTGGGATAAATAAGCAGCCGCCAGGGCCCCCTGGTTCAAACCATTTTTTGGGGAAAGGAGGCTGTTCATTTCAGTGGAATGGCAAACCCTGAATTCAGCCTCCATTTGCTTAAGAATACTTTATATTTTCCCTTGTTGGTTTTAAACGGAATTCATCACTACTGGACATATTGTTTTTCCTGGGGACTTCACCAAATGGAAGTCAAGTATTTGGAAGACCGCAGGTTTTTCAGTCCATGTTTTCATTTACCAGAGCAACCCATTTTGGGGTTACCAACTATTTTTGACCACACCCAACTCGGCTTTTTGGAAAAAGTCTCCCGTCGACTTCTCCGACGGCCGAAGGCCCAAGGCCCAAAGGCCCTGGCAGGACGCCCAGACGTCTCCCCGGGACTTCACGGAGGACGACGTGGTGGTCACCCAGGCCACGGATCGGATCGATCCGTTTTCTGTTTCTTCGGGGATCGCTGGAGAAAAACCCGGGGGGGGGGGGTCTGAAACCCTGGGGGGGGGTCTGAAAGAGGGAGCCAACCGGAATGGATTTGGGTATCTGTACTGTTGTTGGCATGTTTTTTAGTTTGTTGGTTCTGTTGTTCTGTTGTTCTGTTCATTTTTCGTAGGGGGCTGCAAAAAAAGCGAAGTATTTTGCTACCATGCCAAGGGTTGTAGAGGTATGGGTCAAAATTAAACCACCAGAAGACTGCGGGTGTTCAGTCCGTGTTTCCAGCTAACAGGGTTCCATGTTGAGTATATTTGACCCAGAGCCGTCATTTGTCTTGTGAGCGCACCCTTTTTACCTTGTTCTAAAGGGAAACCAACATGCAAGGCAGCATTTTTGCCAAAATCCCATATTGGCAGCCTTGGATCAAACGTGGTTGACAATATGGGGGTGTTCCCCGAATGCAGGGCCTCCCATTGAGAAATCAATTTCAGGGGACAGCGGGGTTCCCCGCTTGCAAAATGCTTAGAAGACTGATAATTTTACTGGCTGGGCAACAGTCCCGCACTGCAGGCTGGCTCGATAAAGCACTGTTTGCTTCATCGGGGAATATCTTGTTCTTACGTGGCACCAGAAGCAAATGGATGTATACGTGCTCATGCATACACATTCTGTGCACATATACATAGATATGTGGAAAGATACATATATAAATATATACACATATATACACACACACACAGATACATCTGTATGTACATGCATGTGTGTGTGTGTATGCGCCGCCGCCGCCGCCGCCGCCGAGGATGATGATGATGATGATGATGATGATGATGATGATGATGATGATGATGATGATGATGATGATGACGATGATGATGATGATGATGGTGGTGGTGATGATGATGATGATGATGATGACGAAGATGAGGATGAGGATGAGGATGATGAGGATCATGATGATGATGATGATGATGATGATGATGACGATGAGGATGAGGATGATGAGGAAGATGATGATGATGATGACGACGACGATGATGACGATGACGATGATGATGACGATGACGATGACGATGACGATGATGATGATGATGCTGATGATGATGATGATGACGATGACGATGACGATGATGACGATGACGATGACGATGACGATGACGATGACGATGAGGATGAGGATGATGATGATGATGATGATGATGATGATGATGATGACCAGCTCCATGTTAGGTCACCATTATGTTGGCAACTTCTTAGGTCCTGTTGTTCCGCTCAACTCCTCGGAAATCGTTAAAGTTTGTGGTAGGTTTGCGCACCCTGGACAGGAGCAGAAGAGGCGAGGCTGCCGCTGCTTCAGGCAGATGCGAGTGGGGGGGGGGGGAAGAAGGGCCACCGTGCCACTGAAAAACATTCGAACATCGAAACCTCATGTTGTATGGTTCATTCAACTATGTCATCATGGATGGTTTCCTTTTGGACTCCTGGACGGTTTCTGGCTATCTTTGCACTCCACTCAAAAAAATAAGCTCAGGTGATATCCCCGGCAGCATGTGGTGCTCTTTCAGCGTGCGCACCACCCCGCAGCCCTCGTGGAACCTTACCTCAGGCCGCCCCGGACCACCCGGAGCCTATCTGGGCTGAGAACCCAAAGCTTTGGGGGCTGCCCATGGGTTCCCCGGTCGGTGAGCTGGAGAAGCAATTTCTGGAGACCCGTTGGGTGTAAAAACTGCTCGCGAACCATTATTGGTTTGGGGCCTCTGTTGAAATACCTCCCCTGCAGATTAAGAAGCAGCCTGAAAAACTGCGATGTTTGCAGGAATTTCCCGGGGGAACCCTTTGTGTTACTCTTCACTGGAGTATGTTGTATGCCTATGTCATGGCAAGCTCACCAGCAGGTAGAACGAGCTCACTATGATGTAGGCCCTTTGCTTGGCAACCCAATTCTTTTGTTCAGGCTTTGGAGCTACCGTTGAATTTACAGTTGTTTCAAGGTTTAACAAGACAAAGACAAACAACAACAGGGGCGCCAGCCGTAAAAGACTGAGAGGGAAAAAATGGATGCTTTCTGTTGGTGTCTTTCTTGTCTCAGCAACCCAGCTAGGACTTAGGGCAGGGATCAGGGAGCTATCTAGGGCCATTCGTTCGGTCCTTGGCTTCAAGTTTGCCATACGCTGTTCAACCCACTAGATTATCATGGTTACAAATCGAGCCCCGGTTGCTTGTATGTGTGTTTCTCAAAATTGAGGAACCCCTCCAGGTAGGTAGGTGGGTTCCTTTTGGTGTCCCACTAAAACCGTCCAAAACGGGCGCCCCTATTTTGAGAAGCCCCCATACGCTTACAGGTTGATCCAAGTTCTCACCCGAGGCAGGCCACTCTCAATGGGCTTATGTGCCATCCGAGGGGGCATCATTTCTCTGGGACAGTTCCAGCCAGAAGGTTCCTACGACCCCGAGCCTCGAGCCGGTCCGAAAAATCAGTTCATTCCTGCGGTCAAACCCTCGGACTGAGTATGCCCTTCCGGCTGCTTCACATCGCAGGAGTTGCTGGGCAAACCTTTAGGCCCAAAGGGGACCTGTACTTCAACGTGGGAGGACACTCAAATGTAATGTCCAGTCTTCCGAGGTCCAATGTTGGTAACCTCGGGGTCAGCACAGTTTGATTCGAAATAGCTTGTGGCAACTTCGCGTGATACAGTCCACTTCAGACGGTAAAGCCTTCCTAGTTATCCAGAGGCGGGGAACCACAAGTCACTGGTAATCAGCAAGAAAGATGGATGTTGGACGCATGCTTCAAGAAACCTACTGCCTCAAAAGATGTGGTGATGGCCTGACCTGAAAAATATGATGCACTTCTGAAGCCCCTTTTGTGCAAAGCTGTTCCCAATTCAGACTCAGCTTTGAGCTTGGCTCCAGCTGCGTTCCACGTTTGGTCGGGCTGTATGCCGCTTCCACTTTGAAGTGGGTCTTCTTTCGGAGAATTGGGGAAGTGTAGTGAACCTGGTGTGCCCGGAACATTGCCACACTCAAGTGACTGATGGCCCTTCAGCGATTTGTTGCGTGCTTCCGTCATGTTTTGGTTGTGACCAACAAGTACTGTCGTGACAAGCTGGTTGTAGGGCCCCTCTTTTTGTTTGGCCCAGAAACTGCAAACTTGCGGGTAACAGGCACAACTCCCCGTTGGGTGTTTCGTCATCTTCACTTGGCTCATGTTGCTTCTGCATCTCGGGGTTAGAGTCAGAAAGTTGGTTGGTGTCCCTTTAACTTAGGGGATGATTTTAGAATTGTGCCATCTGCTTTCAACACATCCCTCACCTCACCTCGCCTTGCGGAGGCGCAAGAAGGACGCTCTCGGCTCCCGGGGTCGACCGCTGGATCGACCTTTCGATCTGAGCTGACCCGTTGGTTTGTCTCCTTGTTTGGGTCGCCGTTTTTAGTTAAGGTGCCAGAGGTATACAGGTGGTCGCCAAGATGTTTTTTTTTCCAGTTGCCTCTCCGAGTTACGGATTTCGGGATCTGAAGCTTGGGACAATCTAGCATCCAAGAACCGATGGATGTGAATCGACCGTATGCTTCTAGTGGTCTCAAAAGGAGACCTTTAGCCTGGATCGATGCTTTGCAATGTTTGAAGACCCCCAGATTATGCTGGGAAAAGGCCGATGGAGCAGTCCGAGGGAAGGATCTTATCCGCAGACTACAAAAAACGCGGGCAGTTTCCCAGGTGTAATCTCATGTGGTCCTTAGTGTGACCTTAGCCTCGTAGACCCTTTGAAATCGCAGGGCTTTTCCAGTAAACCTACAACAGGCTGGAGCAGCAGCCCTGATAAAATCTTGGATTGCCGGGCAAGGGACAGCCATTTGGACTAAGAAGATCGCCACTAATCCCCCCCCGGTTGGTAGTCCCCAATCGGTTTCTGGCGGTAATATTGTTATTCAAGTGAAAGATCCGCCCTTTGGAAATTGCTCAAAAGACCAGGGAATTGGATCCTTGGAGTTTGCAAACCAAAAGTTGACTGTCTCCAAAAACACCACCCTCAGTTCTTGTGACTTGTGAATCCCCCTTTCCAAAGCTTGGCTGGCGGCTTTCCGGAAAAAAAAAAACGTAACTAGGCCCCTCCGGAAGATCCTTTAAAAAGTGGCCCCCTTTCTGGCTGTCTTCTGCCGTCTCTCCTTCAAGCCCGAAAAGATATCACCTGAAAAAAGAAAAGGAGAAAAAAGAGAAAAAACGAAAGCATGTTCGTATATCCACGATGTATGCTGATTCAAAGCAGCAAGGGGAGCCGAATTGAACGTCGTGGCCCTGGTTGCTTTAACGGCACCGACTGGTCACTCAATAGTCAATATGGCTGTGTCCCCTTTTAGGGTGTTAAGGGAAAATCAATCGAACACCCCACCATGTGGAGGTTTGGAACCTCGAAGCTCAGGAATTCCAGGGTTTGGAACCGATTCCGCCCAATCCTATCGACCCTTCGGTGGCTATCAGATTATCAGCCATGTGAGCAGTACATTTGGTGGACACCTTCCATTTGCTTAAGATGTTATTTTCCAATTGTCCCTGTTGGTTTTAAAGGGGATCTATCACTGTTGGAAACATAGTGATTTTTCCAGGGAGCTTAAGCAAACGGAGGAAACCCTCCTTAAGACACGCCCTTCTGGGCCCTTCTCAAAATGGTTTTCCCCATTTTGGTTGCTGAAAGGGATGCCCAAAGGGAACCAACGGTAGGGACCAGTATTTGGAGAAACCCCTCATGTGATCCCTGGTGAACGTAGATGGCACAACCTCAGGTTTTGTCGTCCTCCAGACAGAGAAAGGCAACAAGGCCATGTGCTGTCTCCTTGGTGTGGAAACCTCCTGAAAAACCTCACGCCACTTGCAGGACGAGGCCGTCATGGACACTTGGCGGCAATTTGGGATTGAAAGTATGGTTGAAGGCACCAGAAAACCGCCAAAAACCGCAGCTACAGCCGGAAAAGGCTCAATCTTTGGGTTCAGTTCGGCAACTGGATGATTGGCATCATTTTCCAGTGGAGAATCCATCTATGCGGCCGAAAGCTAGAAACATGGTTGCTTTTTCAGGCATCTCGGTCAAGGGCAACAACATTCTAACCTTCCTTGTGGCAATGTAAACTTCTTTGTACATCCCTTTGTTGGAATGGACCGTTTTGACAGTTTTCAAGGCTACTTGCGGCCGCTTACCTTCATTCAACTTTGGAGGGTGACTGTCAACATGGTAGTTGTGATATTTCATATGTTCGCTGAACACGGACCAAAATCCAGAGAAGTATTGTAGGTGGGTGCAAAGCACTGAAGTAGCTGAAACACGCAAAGGCCGTTTGGCCGTTTGGCCTTGTTGCTGCTGTTTTGTGGGGCAGCGTGGTAAGTCCCACCATACTGTCTTGTCTCTGTCAGCAAATCACATTTGCAATGTGAGCGAGCTAGATCGGGGACTAAACGAGCTCACCCATGATGCAGGTCCTCAATTCCGCTTGGCGAGTTGTGGCTAATTAGGGCGGATGGTTGGCAGTTTTCTTGCGCTTCTCCCGCGCAACTCCCGGAAGGACCAACAAGTTACACGATGTTCTTTCCTGTGAACTCAAGGCTTGCCTCTAAAGGACGAGCACAAAACCAAGCTGGTGTCCTTTCGTTTTCCTTTCCAAGGGCCAAGTTACCATCCTCCGGCGGGTTGATTCATGGGTGAACAATAGAACTACCATGCGTTTCTCGTGTTTCCGAGGCTTTGTTCGTGCTTGTTTGACACATGTTTGTCTTTTGAGACGGCCTTAGTGGAAAGCCGTGTGCCGGTTCCTGGGATTCCTGTTTCCTTTGGGAGGCATGCCAAGCTCGTTGCGGCGGCAATGGCGGGTCTTCTGGGCTCAGCGAATCGACCTTCTAACCCCTTGGGTTTCCCTTGGCCCAGCTTGCGCCGGCCGGGCCGCGCGGTCAGGAACTCAACGACTCCGAGCGAAAGTACGTCACCGAAGGCGGGAGTCTGAATCTAGGCTTTGGGGTAGTCCGATCAGTTAGCCCGGGGTTGGTTTGTTGAATTGGTTTCTGGGACGAGTCAGGTCGAATCAGTGAGTCAAGGGTTGGTTTGTTGAGTTGAGTTTTCTGGCACAAGTCACCAAGTCAGGGGTATCGGTTTGTTGTTTGCGTTTTGCCCCAGGCTTCAACACCTTCGGGGCCTCTTCGGACCTGGGCACCATGGTGGCGGTGCTGAAGCGCGGCACGGCCTTCGGAGAGCCGAGCCCTGAGTCGAGTCGAGACTTGGTTCGCTTGAAAACCCGAGGCGTGTTCGAGGCCAGAGAAGCCCGAATGTATTTTCCAGGGAGACGTGGCACCTACAAAAGAGGGGGGTTGGATGGGATTCTCATGGCATAGGGTAAGTAGGAGACACCCATGAATTCTTCCGGAAGGTTGGAAGCCTTCTGCTGAAAAAGGGTTCCTCAAAGGATACATCCCACAATGACATGTTTTTGTCAAGGGAATTCTCTAAAACTGGTCCATGGGCGATGTTTGCTTGGAGTGCCTGGTTTTTTGGGGGAGATTCCTCAAATGTGCTTGGACCTTCATGTCCAACCTAAATGATGCAACCAACATTCGTAGCGTTCTCTGAAAAGTGTCGAACCCGAAACGAAAAAAAGTTCAGCCATATTAATTGTTTGGCCGAGGGAGGAGAGTAAAAGGCGCAAGCCTGGTGCATGCTTCTTGCTGGGGGAATCAACAGGGGTGTTGAGAATGAAACTGTTTCCTCAAAGGAAACTAAGGCAACTAAGGATGGTTCATAGGGAGCATTTCCTTCCCCGACCAAGGTATGTGCACGTCTTTTTCGGGGACTTTGTTTTGGCCAGACCAATGGCGCCTTTCCTCCCCCCTCCCTTAGACAATGGAAAGATGTGGCGAAGTGGGGAAGTCGCCTTGGACTCGTTTTCATCTTGCTGGCGCGATCGGCGGGGAATGAGACTTGAATCATTTGTTCCAAGTCCCCTTCAAGGAAACCACCCACCAAGTGCTTTTTAGGTGTTTTTGGGGGGAGAAATTCAACAAGCCAAAGAAAGAGCCGGCATGTTGCGGGGGTTGGCTGTGAAACCGGGGTTAAACCCTATGGACTGCACCGGCGGGGAAGCTCTCCCCTCGCTCACGTCGGCGACCCGAGGCTTGGGCTCATGGAGCGGAAGCCGCCACTCGAAGGATGCTGGTGGGTTGGGGTCCCTGCTTTTGGTTTTGTTGCTTTTTTTTTTGTGTGTTCTTTGTGTTTGTGTTTTGCTCTTTTGGCTTTGTTGCATTTGTTGGACTGTTTGTTCGGTTGGCTTTTGAGTGGGTTGGCTTGTGTGTGGTTCTTGTTGGCTTGTTTCGGCTTTTTGTGGCTGTTTGTTTGGCTTTTGTTAGCTCTTTTTTGCTTTTTTCGGCTTGTTTTTTTGGTGTTTGTTTGGCTTTGTTTGGCGTTTTGGCTGTTTTGGCTGTTTTGGCATTTTTTTATTTTCGCTTTTGTTGGCTGTTGTTTGTTTCTTTGTCCTTCCTTTGGCTGTTTTGGGGGACCAAGAGGGCACCACGGTTCGATTCGAGCTGTCTCGGGTGTTTGCACACGGGTGCCGGCATATCCCCATTGGACCTTTGAGGCATTGCCGTATTGCATTTTTGTTGGGTGGGTACACCCCTTCAAAATCCACAAAGAAATCGATTGTGCTGGTTGGGATTTCGTATCGTTTCTGCCAATGCCTTTGTTTGCCCTTCAAAATCAATCAACCACACAAATGGCAAGTGCTCTTTTCTTCGGGAAACTGGAGGTCCCTCTTGCAAGTCTTTGCGAACCATATGAAGGTTCCAAGGGAAAGGGCACTCTCAGTTTAGGTTTGCTCAGATGTATGATACAAATATACATGCCGTGAAATGCAATGCGTGATGTATGCATACGGCATGTATGCGGCTTGAGAGGGAGAGACTCTCTTTGCTCATGTGGACATGTGCAATGAAACTGCTTGCTTTGTTGCTCTGTGGCTGGATCTTTTGATCAGTTCAGCTTTTTCCAAATGTTTGTTTCCCCACCGGCCGGCAGAAAGTGGACAGCTTTTGACAACTGCCCGTGAACTTTTCCCTGGGGCAAGTCCAGTGTGGCAAACGGAATTCAGCCACCTTTGCCTCAGCCCATGAAAGAGAGAGCGAGAGAGAGAGAGAGAGAGAGAGAGTCCACCAGGCATGCACTCCTTCTTTCTGTTTCTTTCTGTTGATTGCGTGCGGCTGGCAACCTCATTTGGTTCTGCGTTCGAATCAGTCCAGATCCCCTCGTCACGCAGCTTGCTTGGATCCAGGCCTTAAGTACGCCGTTTGCTTGGTCTTGTGACGTGTTGTTGTCCACTCCTTGCGTTCCTGAACCTTGCTGGCGCCCCATGATCCTGCTTTTTGTTGGTGCATGCCTGGCTGGTTCGTGAGGCAATCTGGAGCGCGGCCTTCGTGACGGTTGTATGTCAACCAACAGGCACCCCCTTTACAATTATGGTTATAGCTTACTTCCCACTGCCACTGTGCAGTCTAGTTTAGGGGGCAGACCCCCCAAGGGTTGGGGCCGTGTTTTGCCACAAGCTTGTCATTAATAAGGCATACAATTCCCAACCCTTGTAGGGGGTTGATGAGGGCCCTTTTGGATGATTTCTTCCTTGGCAGTCAATGGTCAATAATCTTGGTTTTAGACTATTTTCTGTAGAATCCTTGATGAGAATGACTGGCATAAAGGCATTCTCGCGAACCCACCAACATTTCCAGGATTTAATTAGTTGGTGGGGAGAAGATAGACTGTGAGCAAGAGATCCAGGATATACTGGCAGAGCGGTTTAAACCCTTTGCCTCGCTTCCAGACGGTACAAAGAGCAGCGAGATGAAACGATGGTTGCCATCCTTCTACCTCTTCCAAGCTTCGCCGAGAGAAAAGGAAGGAGAAAGGAATGGATGAGGGGGGGATGAAAGCAGGATGATGAGCTAAAGGTCATATCTCTTTCCTCAGCTTTCATGATGGAGCGGAGGTGGATTGCCAAAGGAACAAATGCCAAAAGGAGGCTGAGGATGAAATGGAAATTGTCAAAGCGAAGTCAGGTTGGAAGAAGGAGATGAACAGCAGACGTTTGGAAGAAAATGATGCAAACGGAATATGACTTCACGGTTTGTTGTGAGGTACTGCTTAAGGGTTCGATCTTAATCTGTGGTTTAAGAAAAAGAGAACATGAACCCGCCAAATGGACTTTCCTTCCCTTTTTGTGCTCCTTTAAGCAACCACCCCAAACGGTAAACCACCCCTTCTGAAAAACCGGAACACCCACGCGGACGCCCTTGCTCGAAGCTAAGGCGAGCTGCCTCCATCCGTCGCACGGCCGCAAGTGCGACAAGGGGCCAAGTATTTTGAGTGGGGTTGTGGGGCACTAGAAAGCCAAATTAAGCCATGCTGGGAGCTCCCTCCAATCGATCATCAAGCAAGTCCATTGGCACCCCTGCCCCACGCGCGGGTTTATCGTTGTCAACCCTTCCTGTGTTACAAGCGTGTATCCAGAATACATATGCTTCTTCTTCTTCTTGATCAGACCTCATCTGATCCCTCGGTTGGCTGATTTCGCGAGCACAAGTTTCCATTGAAGAGAAGGGCCAAACCACGCACTTGTTAAAAACCGTGTGTGTCTTTTTTAGGGGACCCTCCAAATGGCGGTTATCCTTTTGGTGTCCCTGGTAACCAACCCTACAAGGGTACCCCCCAAACACATCCATATTTGTTTTTGCTATTGATTGTCTTCAGTGTTAATTTTTGAAGTGCCTTGGATTGAGCCAGTAGGTTCAGTATATGATCAATAATAGGTTCCTTTCAAGTTCCATGTTCGGTGCATGGGATTTCCTCGCAGGTTCCCAATGGGTTAGCGTGTTTGCAAGGGTTTCATGTTGGCTTGCCCACGTTGGTGTCCTCTCAACTGTCCAGGTAAAGTCCATTCATGATTGAGGGCCTCGTGCTATGTCTTCATGCTTATCTATATATATATATATATATACACGATACAAGTGGTTCCATGTTAGTTTCCATGACGTGTGTGGTTCGCTTACTAAAAGTGTACGTTAGTTTTGTAGCTGTTCAGCCGTAACCTTCCATGTTGGTGTGTGTATGACTTGTTGCTTGAATTCAGGTTTCAGGCTGCGGGGTTCTCTGAAGCCAGGCTGCGCGCAGAAGTGCACCTTCCTGGTTATCCGGCGTGGCCCCTGACGTGGGACACAAATCAGATCCACAAAAAGATGGAACCCGCCAGGTCTCTTTTAAAGGAACATCCTCTTCCCGGCCCTTGCTGTTTTGGCTTGGGGATTTGAACCCCACCGTTTGAAACCCTAACGTCCTTGGACCGCCAAAGCAAATCACCCATTGGCGGAAAGGTGAACTGGGAAGTGTTGCTGGCTTGTCCCATGGCCACGGAAAATGTGCTTGTCTGTGCTGCCACTTTGCCAAGGTCACCCCCCGTGTGCTATGGTTTTCTTTGTTACATATGGTTCTGCGATTTCCAAGTGGGAACCCAGGATTGCTAGACCAGTCCCGATGCCTTCCACTTTGGAGTGGGGTGCCAAAATATGTGGTGGAAAGCTCTAACCTTACTTGTTTTTCTCCCTGCTTGATCCCCAACCGCCCGCGGAATGTCTGGGATGGGCGAACCTGAAAAACGGGTTGGTGTCTTGTCATTTCCATTTACCAAACAACAAAGGGTCCACCACTCTGAGACTCGCAACCATGGAAGGCCTCCTTCGGTTCTACACATGCGGAACATTTGCTTTACGAGGCGCAGCGCCTTCCACAAATGGTTCTCGGAGAGCATGGGCGCAGACGCCTACAGGCGCTCGGGGTTTGGCGTAAGAACCGCGCGTTGCGTCGTGTACCCCAGTTCAGAGGAATCCACCCTCCCTTTTTGGGCGGCTGTTTTTTAGGGTGCCCCTTGTCTGGTTGGTTTGAAAGGGAAGCCGAAGGGAAAACCCAGTGATTTGTTTTTGTTTTTTGTGAGGGGGTCCCAATTTTGAGACAGAAAGAAGACCCCTTTTGCCTGGAGTTTCCCCACATGGTGAACCTCAAAAGGGTTCCAATTCTTTCTAACCGGAGCTCACCGAGCACCCTCGTTTCGGGGGGTGGAAGGGAACCACAGGTTGAGTCCTTATGAAATCAGGTACTGGGAACCGATTCATTCCCTGGTTGACTTTCATTGGGGGGTGTTCAACCTTTTTGGTAAAACTGCAGACCACTGTTGGAGGGCACCCCCTAACATAGGGATGGGTTGATTAATGCCCGCAGTCACTAGGAGGGAGTTACTAGTTGGCCGGCTCCTGGACCATCTAAGGAGTGCACGAAAACTACTTTTCGACCCGCTTGAAGTGCGTCGACTGATTCCTTAGGGGGGCGTTTGCGGCAACACGTCCGACCCCTTCTTGCGTGTTCAGCTTTGGGTTGGAAGCATCCAAGGTTACAATCACTAGTTTGCCTAGGAGGCGGGCTTGCCCAAGGCTCCCTTACGGTTCTGTGAAAGTACCATGGACCCTCAAAATACCCTTAAGAATGGAATGCATCCACTTGAACAATCGGGCGATTTGGTCGATGAAAGCCGATGGTTTAACGAGAATAAAGCCCAGGGAGAACAGGCCGGGCAATGTCTCACTCTCTGAGCTCATAGACTTTACATGTTTAAGACCATTTTACTTGGAAATAAGAGTGCCGACTTGTTTGGCCAATCCACTCAGGAAGTGAGATGTCTAGGTGCTCCAGTAGAGAGGTTAGAATAAGGGTACTGTACTCTTTTTTGTGTGGTCCATTTTAGTAGGCGAACCCTCCCCAAAAAAAGGATGTAAAAGGGCTCTACTGGGGGACCTAGATGTCCCAAACATCATGGCAAGTTGTGCTTCACCAAACATCCGGTTTGCGCCAGGAAGCGCATCTTCTTCATCCGGAAGATCCCCGGGTTCCGGTACGAGACGCTGAGGAGAAATGCGCACGTGACTCAAGGTCGCTCTTAGACAATCAAAACACACTAGGAAATCGGTGTTGCTTCCCTTTGCTTTCCCTTCTCAAGACAAATGTTCAGCCTTTTCCAACTTTGGAGCATTGGAAGGAACGCAAGTCAGTGATTGCACGTAACTTTCAGCATGCATGAGAGGATATCCTTTGCGCTCATGAGTACGTGTATAGCGGTTGCTCTCATGTGTGTTGCCTTGACTTAAAACACACACACACACACATATTGAAAGTGCATAGTCTCAGAATAAATCTCTTGGACACCCTCCTCCCGGAGATAACCCCAATCCAAACCTTAGGCATTTCAGCAACCCTTTACCATCGCAGGTGTTTTGTGTTTCCCCCCATGGCGGGGTTGTCTTTTTTCAGGCAGATGTTCAAAATCAACTCGGAATGTGTGACGCATCCTTGACGGCAACTTCGGCTAACGCCACAGCTGGGTTGGCGCGATTTGTGCGTCTTGCAACCTGAAATGACACAGCTCAGTTGAGTCACAATCAGAACGAGGGTAGATGAAGGTTAGTTTTGGACGATCCCAACCATAAATAGGTGCGGCCGCCTTCTTAATCCTTTTCATGGTTCTGGGTTCACCATTATTGTACCGGGTTTTGATTATGACTTAGTTGTGCAGCGGCACCCTCTAGATCCATGTTTGCAGGTTCCCCAAACTGAAACTCTGAGGGTCCCCGATTTGCGAACGCCAGAAGTCCCTTTCCAATTCAGTGCCTTCTTTGGGGGAAGCCACAAAAGCCGCCCTGGGTTTGCCTTTTTCGTTTTTTTGCGGGGGGGATCTCGTTGAACCTGCTTTGAAACCGCCTCAAAAGGCTCGAGAAAAAGACCCAAGGGTCTCACAGAAACCCTAGACAAACATGGAAAGGAACCCAGAAGATGTTCCTCAAACAGGGCCATGTTTGTTTTAGGAATCCAAGCTCAGAACTTATGCCTAGACCTCCAGCACAACTTGGATGAACTTAATAAGTAGGTCAAACCCATGGTGAGGGGACAATCACCTCTACCCAAGACTTGCTGTCACGGTGCCAAGGTGCCCCGCATTCCTCACCGCCCTTTTTTTTCCGGCCCGTTGCGGCGGGGTATAGGCCACCCAGAGAAACGACTTCACACGAAAAGCGCAGGTTGCTTCAACAGCATCGCCAGATCAAATATGGGCGTGGTTGCTTTTGTTGAGGGTACCTCTCTGTGTTGTTTGTTGTTGTGTGGTTGTGTTTGCTTGCTTGCTTGCTTGCTTGTTTGTTTGTTTGTTTGTTTGTTTTTTGTTTGTTTGTTTGTTTTTGAGGGATTTTCAACAGGAACACAGCCAATTTTCACAGTCCCCTATTTTGAAACCAACCCATTTTACTTGCACTGCATATCTTCCACTGGGATGTATCCTTGGGCCTGCAAGCTAGTCTCGGGCTTAGAGATGTCGGATTGGGAAAGTTCATCCAGCTGGTCTCACTTCCTGAGTTCCGAGACTTTGGACGTTTTGGGAAGGCGCATGTAGTGGTGAATAAGAAGTTCAGGCCATTTTTGCCAATCCACTCAGGAAGTGAGTGGTAGCATAGTTTGTGGAGTTTGTCCATCAACATATTTTGGGAAAGCCTGCAACCTGATCACCCCCCCCAACCACGCCCGCCCGGAAAACAGATGCCTCGGAGGAATCCCATGCGCACCGGGAGTAGCTTGAGCAGCCCTACCGACAAGAGGCGTCAGACTGGTGAGACGCGGTGTCTTCTTTTCTGGGAAGGGTCCCATTTGGCCATGGGTCAGAAGCCCGCACCCCCAGTGAACATCCCAATCCACATTGAAATAGGTTCTAAAATGGGTGGTGCACCTACCCCAAAATGGTACCATTGGTTTTGACCCACAGCCCTTCCATGGGCCAAGCCAAGCCCTTGCAAAGCGGACCACTTTCGAGGTTCCTGAAGCGAAGAAACGGACATGCGCCCCTTTCTCAACGAGGAGAATGAGTGCACCACCCATTTTCCAACCTGGTGATGAATCCAGAAGGTCTGGAAGCCTTTGCTTGAAGCATAGCTCGGCTGCCTGATCAAGGTGGCAGTTTCACCAAATGATGGATGTCGGACCCCATTTGGGTGTTGTAACGGAAAGCCACAAGAAGACCGTTGCCATTTTAAGAGCAGAGTCCTATTTCTTGAGAAAGACCCAAGTGGTTTTGACCCACAAACTGAGTGTCCCTGTGGTGGCTGATGTTCAAACATGTGATTCTGGGTTGGGGGGTTAGTGATGGTGATGTTGAAGGGAAAGCAAAGGTCGAGCCAGGAAACATCGTAGGAAACGGTAGAAACCTAGAATCCAAGAAAGTGGAAGCTCTGACATTCCCTATATTACTCTGGCAACCCTTAGTTGGTGGTTTGGATGGGTGGCTTGGGGAATATCTGGTTCTTCCCACCCCCAAACCTCCAAACCACCAATTCAAACCAATCAGAGAAAAGCTTACATCGGGTTCACTACTGTGAATGGACGAAATCCTGCAGCACCCGACAAACCACGATTGACACCGCTGTTATTCCCCAGATAGCTGAAGGCTATAGCGGTTCTAACTTCTAATAACAAGAGGGGAAAGTGATTTGCGAGATTAATTGCTGGGTGCTAAGGGGCATGCAGTTTGGGGTGCTTGGGGTGCTGGTGCATGTGTTGGTTCAGCGTGCTACGAGGCATGCAGTTTGAATGCTGTGGGTGCTGTTTGAGGTGCTGGCGACAGCGCGGGCACGTTTTTGACGAGATTGACGGCCGGGTGCTAGGGGGCATGCACTTTGGGGTGCTGCTTGGGTTGCTGTTTGAGGTGCTGGTGACGGCGCCGGCGCGTTTTTGCGAGATTGACGGTAGGGCTAGGGAGCGTGCAGTGTGGGGTCCTGTTGCACCTGCAGGTTTTTGCTGTTTGGGGTCTATTTGTTTGGTTTTCTCCTTGGTATCTACAGGGGAAACGAATCATTGCAGGGTTTCTTAAGTGGTGCGAAATGGAATTCGCAACCGTCCACAGCATGGTCCCATGAAGCTTCATGCCGACTCCGGCAGGAAGGGCCCGACTCATCCGGTGGATGCCTTCAAAGAGGTGGAGGTGAAGGGGGGGCGTCTCCCTCAGACAGAGCTTCCGAGGTATGTGGTGCCCTTTTTACCCAACAGCCGAAAGCGTTTTGGTCCAAATAGGCGAGAAGGGGTGGGCTGTTGGGGATACTACTTTGGATGGTGTCAAAGGCAAAAAGGACACCTGCCAATTTGGGAGGTTCGCAAAATGGTGGACCCCCTGTGGTTGAAGCCACAAAACACGGGTCTGTCTCAGAATGGGGGATCGCGACCCCAGTTTTGGAGGTTTTTCAATTCAAAACATATTATGGAACCCGGCCATTTCAGAGGTCCTCCTATTCACAAACCGATGTTGATTTCCCATGTTTCCAGTTGAGCGGGAAAATGAATGAAGGAATGGTGGGGTCTTGTGGTTGTGCCCCCCTTCTGGGAAAAGCAGGTTCCCCCCCTCACAAAGCAAAAAGGCAGGCTTAGGCAAAATGAGTTTGAAGGCAAGAGGCCATGTCTCATGCTGCATGTTTGGTTTGCCGGTTTTGGGAAATTAACCAAAATAGAATAGCTGTAAATCTATTTTTGTCAGCTACAGTGGTATTTTACCGGCAGCCAGGCCCCAACCCCGCTCGGTTGCCCCTTCACATGATGGTAGCCAAAAGATTTGGGTCTTGCTTTTAAGGGTCACCTCATCGTGGCTTGTTTCTTTTGTTGTGGAAGCCAAGAGGGAAGCCACTGCAGTGTTAGGAGTCCCGGATTTGGAGGCACTATTTAAATCCAAGCTTTGAAGTTGAACGTTGACCAAGTGGGTCTTACTGTGGATGGACGAAATCCTTCACCAATTGAAACCGTGGGAAACCATTGTTTGTTAGTATTTGCAGGGGAATCATCAGACACCAGGGTTTCTTAGGTGGTGCGAATTGGATTTCGTCCATCGTATGTCATACCTGTTTCCAGGAGGCGTTGGCTGCAGCTTTTGTTCCCGCAAACAAGAAAAGGCCCAATTTCCCGAGCGCTTTGTTTGAGAACCCCAAGAAATACTCAAGAAAAGACGCTTACATGGCTTGGCCCGTTTGAATAGTTCATGTTTGTGGACATAAGTCTGGTTTAGATCTAGAGGATACGCACCAAATAGCTCCTGAATTGAAAATCATGGCCACATCTGTTGCGCCTCAAATCGGCGGGTTGGTGCGCAGGTGTATGGCAGTCGCACAAGCTCAAGCCTGCACGTGCTGCCACCTCGACAAGAAATCCGCGCAGCTGTTTTAGGTTCAAGACTCTCAGAAGCTAAAAGATGTTCAAATCCCGGGGCAGCAAATCGACTGGGCTACCCATGGTTTTTCCCGGACTGTCAATCTTCTACCGTGCCGATCGTGTTTGCGGAGTATTCCTGTGAATCCCTTTGGGCAAATCAAAGTGCGACTTACTGAAGATTTGCGAGCGAAAACCCGTGATGGTCCAGTTCCTTTCTTGACTGCTCCCCTATTTCAGCTTGATGAATTATCGTAAGTCGCCCAGCGCCTTATGAGGCCATTTACGCCTGGTGAGATTCCAAACTTGAGATTTGTGATTGATGTCCTCATAGCCAAATTCAACTTGGCCAACTCAGAAACGGCCAGCCAACCAAGCAACTCAACTAACCAAGCAAGCAAGCAAGCAACCCACCCACCCACCCACCCAGCCAGCCAGCCAGCCAGCCAGCCAGCCAGCCAGCCAGCCGGCCAAACCCTATGCCATTTTCAAGGTCGCTGTCGACCCATGGCGGTGCCTTTGGTGCTGACCTTGGCCGGTCTCAACGGCCAGGAAGTCCACCTCACAGTGCCGGACCCTGGCAGTCGGTCGAACTGAACCGACGTGGGGCGGGTCTTCAATCGAGGGGCCTTTGACGGTCAGCTATTTCTGGATGTTTGCACCGGCGGGAGGTTCTGGGCGAAACGGGCGGAACCACCCGACCCCCAGAGGGACGACCATTTTCGAGTGGGTGTCAAGACCTCCAGCCAACAAAAAAGTATCACTTGCCCAAAGCGAATCGACCTGAAATCACCTCTTGCTTCCTCTTTGTGGCCCATTTTTAGTCAAGGTGCCAAAAGGTCAACCGTTATTTTTCAGGTCCTGTGGGCAAGTAAGAAATGGATTTCCCTTGCCTGTTGTTTACCCTTCAGCATCCAATAAAAGCAGGGTCCTCATTTGTTGATCACCAGGGTATGTATTAAAATAGGGGAACCCGAAAGAATGGATTTCAGGTTCCTTTTGGCTCCCCTTCTTCCTTGTTTTGGGATGGGGTTTCCATTCCAAATCAGGTAGCCCTTGGGTGGTTCACCTAGCATGAAGCCCGACCCCATTATTTTTACCATCGTCAAATTCAAAGGCACCCCCGCGGGCTAAAGAGCAACATCCCCATCTTCTGACTTCAACCTGCAGCAACAGTCAAAGTAATAGGGAAGCTACCTAAGATCCAAACCAAACCGAACCAATTGGAGAGGGCTCCTTAAAAGATACACTTTGCCCAATTGAAACATGGCTTTTTCCAGCAAAATAAAGGGAAACCATCATTTACACAAGGGAAACCAGCATTTGCAAGGCAATGTTCAGGTGTATAATGTAAGGATTCCTGTTGGAGGGAAGCTGACAGGACCACCTCCTGGGGCGCGACTTTCTGGCGCTGGCCCACGCCGCTTTGGGACCTCCCAAGTTGGGGGCGAAGCTTCGCGTCAGCTTCGGCGGACGTGAGCTCGTGCCGCAGAAGACCCTGCGGGACCAGGACACCGCTCCGAAACAAAAAGACGCAGGCCGTGGCTTCAGAACGATTTTGATTCTCTTCGCTACTCTTGACGGATATGGGTTCGCTAGTGGTTCGCTTGTTGGTTTTGTTTGGTTTTGTTCATGTTTGGTGGTGGGCTGCAAACAACAAAGTTGGTACCAAGGATTTCCAAGCACTTAAAATGGAATCTGAAACTATGTATCTTTGAGAATGGGATCTGACTTGAGAACTATGGGATCTTAAGTATGAACCAGAGTCTGAAAGTATGAATGTTCTGTGCGTGTCTGGCGGTTTCTACCCCGGATGAATGCACCCCCTCTTTTTTACTAATAGGGCCCCGCGCACTCGCCGAGTTCTTGGACCATTTTAGGTGCCCAATCTCAGGAAGTGAGGGTGTTTAGTTGGATGCAGACCACTTTTGGTGGGGAACACTCCCCTGTGAAGCGAACCGGTTTGTCCGTCTGGGTGAATTTCCATCACCCGGACCCTAAAGGCCGAGGCGACTTCTGCCGCCTGTTTGGGGGGGCTGAGGCCTTTGTTTGCTGTGGGAGAGTCGAGGTTTTGGGAGTTCATGAGTTTGAACTGCACGACACTTGCGCTTTTTCTGCGGTGAACCTCGGGGTTTAAAACATGGGTTGATCATCAGGTCCTTGCATGCGGTGACCATTCGGGAACCAAAAAGGGAAAGTTGCCCATGGTCATTTTGGGGCCAGGAATATGTTGATCAATCCCAACATGAGCACTTGCTGTACCTTTTGGACATCTCCACCATGAAAGTAGGCCATTGGAGATCCCACGCTCGCTCGTTAACGTCCTGCCGGAGTTGACAGTTTCTGTTTTAAAGCAGTCTCTCAAGCAACAGACCAAGCAGCATGGTTCGAGAAAAAGCAAACGAGTTTGCATTGAGCTAAGTTGGATTCCGGGAAAAACGCAGCATTTACACCAAACCGAAAGGTGACAGAAGTCTTCTGGCCCCAAGGTCGGCCAAGGAAAAGCATCAAAGGCACCTGAAAAATTGCTATTGCCTTGGTTTCTTAGAACTCAAGACCCAAAAGGGTAGGTGGAAAGTCCCTTTTCACCAACCGTCAAGTTTCAAGGCTGGGTTTGGGAGTTGGATGTACCCAACGTTTGCTTTGGAAGATGGGCAAACGCAACCAGGCCGGAGAAGCGGTCGCCGAGTGCTGAGTTGCACCTTCAGCGCAATGCCCAGGATTTGTGCACCAACTCAGTTGGCACATTCACCTACACTCGTGCCTGTGCCCTAAACGCCTTGTGCGCGCTGGAGGAGCACGGCATTGATCCTCGGTGGCAACGGGTGTTTCAAATGTTTCCATCTGGAGTTGCCCTCCGAGTTGTTCGCCAAGAAAAGGATTTGTGTTTTCCCCCTGGGCGCTGAAGGAGCATTTCGAGCGGACGATGGAAGGCGTGACATTGCTGACGTTTGGCGACTCATTCAACACCAGTTTGCGGGATTTGACTCTGCCAGGAAGCCTTCGGAGCCTGATGCTGGGCTCGGAGTTTAACCAATGTCTGCAGGGAGTGACTTTGCCGAGGAGCCTGGAGAATCTGACTTTCGGCTACGGATTCAACCAAAGCTTGCAGGGAGTTATTTGGCCAGACAGCCTGCAAAGCCTGACTTTCGGATTCGCATTCAACCAAAACTTGCAGCAGGTGATTTGGCCACGCAGCCTGGAAAGCCTGACTTTCGGCCACAGGTTCAACCAAAAGTTGCAGGGTGTGACTTGGCCGAACAGCCTGCAGAGCCTAGCGTTTGGGCACGGGTTCAACAAAAACTTGCAGGAAGTGACTTGGCCAGATACCCTACACACCCTGACGTTCGGAAATGGGTTCAACAAAAGCCTGCAGGAGGTTACTTGGCCCGATAGCCTACAGACCTTGATACTTGGCAATGGGTTCGACCAAACTCTTCAAGGAGTAGCTTGGCCAAGCAGCTTGCAGAGCCTTGCGCTTGGCGATGCGATGAACGAAAGCTTGCGGTACTTGACTTTGCCAAGCAGCCTGCAAAGCCTGATATTTGGGAGGTCATTCAGCCAAAGCTTGCAGGGAATGACTTTGCCAGGCAGTTTGAAGCACTTGACCTTTGGCGATGTATTCAATAAGAGTTTGCATGAAGTGGCTTTGCCAGCAAGCTTAAGCAGCCTGACATTTGGCGATGCATTCAATCAAAGTTTGCAAGGAGTGATTTTGCCAAGCAACCTGCAGAGCTTGACGTTCGGCCACAGGTTCAACCAAAGCTTACAGGGAGTTGCTTTGCCAGACAGCCTGAGCAGCCTGATTGTTGGTTGTGCCTTCAACCAAAGCTTGCTGGAAGTGGCTTGGCCAAGCAGTCTCAGGAGCTTGACTTTGGGTTTTGCATTCGACGAAAGCTTGCAGGAAGTGACGTTGCCACGTAGTCTGAAAAGCCTGACATTTGGCGATCAGTTCAACAAAGAATTGCAGGGACTTACTTTGCCTGAATGTTTGGAGAGCCTGACTTTTGGCTTCGCATTCAACAAGAGCTTGCAGGAAGTTACTTTGCCCAGCACCTTGCGGAGTTTGACTTTCGGTGACGCATTCAACGAACACTTGCAGGGAATGAAGTGGCCAGTCAGGCTGCAGAGCCTGACGTTCGGCTACCGGTTCAACCGAAGCTTACAGGGAGTAGCTTTGCCAGGCAGCCTGCAAGCCTTAACATTTGGCAATGCCTTCAATCAATCCTTGCAGGAAGTGACTTTGCCTGCCAGTCTGCAGACTTTGACCTTTGGGGATGCCTTCAACCAAAGATTGCCAGATCTGCCATGTGAGCTGCAACTTCTAAGCTTCGGCACTGGCTTCGACCAAGCGCTCGGAATTCTGCCAGGGAACCTGCAATCGCTTCTTCTTGGCATGGACTTCAGCCAAAGTCTGCACGGGGTGGAGGTATCGGAAGGCCTTCGAAAGTTACAGATTGGAGATATGGCCATTCATTGCTGAGGTCCAGGGACGAAATCCATTTCGCACCACCTAAGAAACCCTGGTGTCTGATGATTCCCCTGTAAATTCCAACAAACAATGGTTTCCCATTGTTTCTTGGGTGGTGCAAAATTTCGTCCATGCACAGCATGGCCATTCATGGCGGAGGTCCAGCCAGTCCTGAGAGGCTTCACAAGATGGGTCTGCTCCTGACGTAAACCGTCACTTGTTGGGCCGGTTTACAGATGGAATTTGCGTTCGGGACCACCAGGAATGAAGGGAAACGTGGAGAAGAAGAACTCCTGGCCCATGGCACTGCACATTTCGAGATGTGTTGTGCATCTCTGCTTACATCAAGAGTTGATTTGCCTCCACATCGTAGCCTGTGGCCTGTGGCAAAGCCTCGATGTCGTGCTTTCTGCGTCGAAGCTTTGAGCGCCTGGCCGTGCTCGGCTTGCGACAGCGACAGACCAAACCACTCGAAAATCGCTAGGTCCTGAGCCACTAGAACACGGCATCAAGTCATGCTCACCACTCGGAAATTGATTTCAAGTCCTTTTGCGTTCCTATGGGACCAAATGTCTAGGCGCCATCGATTCGGATCGAAGTGGGGCACCCCTGAACGCTAAATGAGATGAGAGGGAAATGATCGAAAGCTGATGTGTTGATGTTTTTGGGTGGCAAGAAGTCGTGCTTTCCTTGGCTACTGATTTCGCACCAGTTGGTAGGTTCATAGGCGTTCATCCATCCCAAACGGTGCAAGATTCTGGGAGCAAACCCACCTGCCCCTCTGCAGGTACCCCTAAAATCCCATTGAAAAATGTGGCTAATGTTGAGCCCAAATTCATCAACCCCATACTATTAATATGGGGGTGGGGGCCCTCCAAAAGTGATGAATCTCCACTAAACCAGGGGCACCCCCTATTACCCCGGTTAGCAAACTGGGGTTGCTTAATCTGGAGTCAACATCATGCACAATTGTGTATTTGAGCTTCTGTGGTATTTTGCGGGGGGACCTACCCAGGGTACATGGTTAGACCTGAGAAGGATGTTGTACATCGATTGCTGGATTGCGCAAAGGACACAGGTGTCGAATCGGATGGCCAGATTTCTGATGTAAAATCGGGCACCTCGAGAGAATCGGCTTTTTGCTTTATGGCGATTTTGTTGGATCTTTGGACCTTAACTTTTTGGGGGAACAGAGAAATGTCCATTGGACCCACAAAAAGTTATTCACTTTTTGCAGAGGGCTCAACAGCAACTAAGCTTGGTGTCTGGTTTTCAGCATCCTTTGCCATGCCAATTTTCAAGGAACGCTAATTTGTGGTTTGCCGAACAACAACCAGCAATGTGTTCTTCTGAGCAAAGGGGGGTGGGGGACTTCCCTGACAGGGAACACTGGAGCACTCATTTGTTCGAAGCGAATTTGAAGAATTTGATCGGTCAGTATGGGGTTTTACATCCATTGCATCCGCAGTGTGGCTGTTCAAGCGTGAAAATGTGCGAGCAGCGCACTTGGACGGTTTGTTGTTTCCTTTTGGGCCCCAAACCGGTAACCCTTGAATCTATAGGTTATCAGCCGTAGGCCCCTAGCTCTAAGCAATGGACGGTTCCCTTGTGCCAGTTGATGGATCCAACATGCCTGTGGATGCTGCCGGAGCTAGCTCCGACAACGCCACCGGCGGCGGTGTGCGAATGTTCGCATCAAGCGCTAATGCGCAGTACAACCGCACCCTGATGAATTCCCTTCAACTGTACAATACCGCAATCTTTGCTTTTGGGAATGATGCAGCCATTAGGTCTGAAGCCGAAGCCCTGCATCAAGCAGCTGTCACGCATTTGCAAGCGGAAAGCCGTGAGGAGCTCCGTGTCGCACAGAATCAGCTGCATGCACACTACGCTGAATGTGCGCAAGCCCAGTCGCATAGAATTCGTGAATACGAACAGCGAGTGAGCGATGAGTTCATTCAAGAAGTGAACTTCGCTGAAGCTAGGATAAGCCAAGTGCGTGAGGAAAATGCCCAAGCATTGCATGAAGCGGAAATGGGACACAAAACAACTGAGTTTAGGCAAGCCATCGAATCCACCCTGGCGGAAGCCCAGCAGCTCCTTCATGAGCAAGCTGCCAAGCACGCCGATGACACAGCCCGTGTTGAAGCGAAAAACGCCAGGACAATTGACATGATGGCCCACCAAAACGGGCTTCTGCAGGACGAGCTCGATGAGCTGAAGAGGTATCAGAAGCAACACGACCTCCGCGAGGATGGATCGAAGCCCAAAGGGGTAGGTGATACCCGAGAGGATTCACCAGAGTTGATGACCGACGACATGAAGTCAGCTCGGTCCCAAAGGTCAATGTTGGACCCGTTGTCCCATCCATTTCAATATGCAAAGGAAAAGTTGAGGTCGCTTGTTACCTATATGACGGTTACGGGGTTGAATATACGCCTAGCGTGATTCCAACCGCCGAATGCGAAGCACTGCCCGCAGATGCTCGCGATCCGCAAGGACCAGCTGAAAAGCCATCAGGTAGCAGCCGATCCCCGGTGAAAACAAGTGCACCGGTCCCGCCCCTGCAATTCTCTCAGGGGCCAATGTCAAATGACCGCAAGCAGGGTGGTAAGCCTCCCGGCGGTCCGCCACCTGATGATGATGGCGATGGCGATGGTGATGAAGACGAAGGTGATGGCCTCGGGCCTAACCTCGGGCAAGAAGCATTCGCCAAAATGTTGATGAAGTTAGTAAAAGGCCACACGAACGATGAAAAGCCCAGAGCCCGCGAAAGCGAGACGTTGCGATTCAAGGAGATGCCAACTCCTGAAACGTACCGTGAATGGAAGACATCGGTTCGTGAGGATGTCCGCGCTGCATCTGACCGTCCAGACGAGGCTTGGCCTTGGATCACGGAAGTCTGGTCCGATCGCGAGGACAAGAAGAACCTGTTGGAGGAGCTCGGCGAACCGGGAAAATTCGTGACCCTAGACACGAAGATTCTCGCAGCGCTCACGCGTTCAGCGAAAGGCGATCTGGCTCGGCAAATCCTAACAGCGAAGGAAGAATGTGCCAAGGAGGGAAAGGCCATGAGAGGAAGGCAGGTCTTGTTTATGTTTGACCAATATTTCAAGACCAGTGAGGAAGCCGGAAACCTCTACTCCTTGGAGGATCTGTTGCGTGTCTCGCGACACGGCGAAGGAATCATTGATCTCAAACGTTTCCTAAACGCTTGGGATTCCGTGATTGCCGGCATGAAAAGGCCGCCGGAAGAAAAGGTGTTAAAAGACATCTTGCTTCGCCAAGTGAGAAGCTGCCATCTGTTGCGATACGACATCGACACATATGATCGTTGCCGTGACGATGATCCCAACAAATCGTACGATTTCCTAATGCGTTGCATGAGGGATCTAATCGAGAGGGATATAGGCTTCGCGAGAACCGAGAGCGCGTGTCCAAAGTCAATGCTAGTAAAGCCCCGACGCCCAAGGCTGGTGCTGCCGCCCCTGAAAAGAGGGACCCCAAGAAAAAGAGCGCACCTAAGCCGAAGGACACCGAGGAAAAGTACTGCTTTGACTTCCAGAAGGGCTCGTGCACGAGGGGGGCAAACTGCCCTTACGCGCACCGCAAGGAGCCGCGAGGACGCTCCGCGACCCGTGGCAGGCCAAGTTCCCCCAAAGGCAATAAAGGAGAGAAAGCACCGTGTTCTTTCTTTGCCCAAGGGAAGTGCACTAGAGGTGACAAATGCAAGTTTAGCCATGCCTCCACGGGCGGCAAATCTGCCGCCGCGGCATCGAGCAACGAGGCCAACGCAAATCCTGCGGCTAAGAAGCGTGCAAATTCACCTAAGCCTAAGCCCAAGGCCAAAGCCGCTGCAGTCTGCACCAGGTACGCCATGTTTGCCAAGCCGATCAATCCGATTGGGGTGTCGTTTGACACCAATGCTCATGTGCGTGAGATCCCCGCCGAAGGCGATGGTTTCAAGCTTGAGTACGAGGAACGGCAGTACAACAGGATGTTTCCAAATGCCAAGGACTGCCTCAGGCCGACCAAAGGGACGAACAAGGCAGCGCGCAAGGCCGCGAACCAGTTGAATGCCGTAATCAAAGCCATTGAGAATGGAGCCCAGCCCGCTTGTGGTTTCATGTGCGATGTGGAATCCGATTCCATCTCAAGCCTGTCATGTGATGAGTGCCTGAGAATTGCCATGCCGCCTCACGATGTTCGCAAGGATGTCGAAGCGCCAAGGGCAGCCACCCCTGCACCAAAGGGAAAGGACGTGTGGCTTATTGATTCCGGTAGTGAGCAGGACCTCATCAGCAAAGCTGCACTGAGGAATGCGTCCAAGGCAATCCGAAAACAGGCCCCACAGCCTATTCGCCTTGTGACTGCAAACGGAAACATCACTGCTTCCGAAATCGCCGACATCAATGTCGATGCATTGTGTGAGCCTGCTCAGCCTTACATCCTCGAGAGTTCTCCCGCAGTGCTGTCGCTGGGTGTGAAGTGTCTGGATCAAGGATATTCCTTCCATTGGGAATCCGGGAAGGCGCCAACCATGGTTCGCCCTGATGGTGCTCTGATCCAGCTCAAGGTTGACGGTCATGTGCCATACATGGATTCTAGCTGTGAAGCTGAGCCATCGTTGAGTGCAGTAGCAGCATCCAAGCCAGCGCCTGCACCGGTTCATGACGAAGGCATCGACGAAGGTGATGATCCCGACGACGAAGTTGAGCGGTTTGTGAGATCCCGCAAAGAGCAAGATCTGGTTGCCGAAGCGAGTACCAAAGAGCACTTGTTTGCACACTATCCGAAGAATCCCTTTTGCCGCACTTGCCAACGTGCCAAGATGCTTGCCCCATATGCAAGATCGAAGGGCGGGCAGGGAAGGCTCGAGACGAAAGCGTTTGGAGATCACATCATTGCTGATCATGTGATTCTCAAGGCCAACATCGAGCAAGGTATCAAAGGTGAATGGTGTGCTCTTGTGATCAAGGACGTGCATACGCAGTTCAGGTACGTTTATCCGT